CTGTGGTCTACCGGACATAAGACACGGGTATGGAGATTTGACTTTCATATTATACGGACTCTTTATTCCTGGGGTATCGAAACATGGAAATAAGCTTCTGGCATGAATCGCCTGGCATTGGGAAAATAAGTATGGAGCAGTTTGACCATCTGTTGCTTCTTTGTCTATAAACTGTAATGCTGTACACTTATCTGTAGTAGAATATTCAATGCTCAACTTAAATTCTTTGTTAATTGTAGTTGGTAATGAAATCTTCAATGGTGACCCAAATGGCTCCTTCCACTTTTTAAGTTCATAATTATCACTAGGTAAGCCATTTATTCTTATTTTGATTATCTTAAGATACGAGGTATCCAACACAATGCTTGTTGTATTCGGTTTTCTGGCAGTTAGCGTATAGGTTACTTTCCCCAGGACTATCTTTTGGTCAAATGAAACACTAATATCTAATTCAGTATTCAGAACTTGAAAATCCTTGTAATTGGAATTAGAGCATGGATCTAACTCAGGACTAACCACAGGCCGTTGTTCGTTTATATACTCTTTAGTCATTAGGTGATACTGAAGATGATTATGGAATATCAACCTTTAACATTTTCATATTCGCAAAAAAATATTAATAAAGAAGATCTTGTTAAAATTAAAAGGTATACGGTTAAATGTCTAATTAAATACTATATATACTGTACGCGATAATAAATAATAATAAATAAAGTAACTACTTAGTAGATTCATCAACTCCAGTAGCATGTTCTGTTGGTTTCTTCTTCTTTTCTCTTTTCTTCGTAGCTTCAGCAACCAATTCTTCAAATACTCTAGCTTCTTCATCTTCAGCTTCTGTTCTTGTAATGCTAGAAAATACTTCGCCAATTAACTTTAAGCCTTTGGCTCTTGCAACTCTAGTGTTCAACGGCACTTCCTTATCTTGCAATATGTTGTCGCATACACCACGAACTGTACTTTGAATTTCGAACTTTGAACCAGACCATGCAGCTGCCAACACTTTACCCATTAAATATTTCTCCATTTCTGCGATATCTTCGGCTGTATGCTTTTCAGGTATCTTTTCTTCTTTCTTATCGTCGGTTTTCACACCTTCACTTCCTTTGGCGTCTTTATCAGCAGCCTTTTGGGCTTCAGCAGCCTCTTTCTGTTCTTTCTCTTTCTTTAACTCTTCAATCTCTTTCTCAATTTGGTCAACTTCCTCGGCATTTTTCTTTGCTTCAGCTTGTTCTTCAGCTTCTTTCTTAGCATGATATTCATTATCCTCTTGCATTTTAGCATATTCTTGCATAGTCAGCTGAGCATCTAAGGCACTAGTAATAGTCTTGAAAGTGTCCCTGACAACTCCACCTTTCTCTTTTACTGACCACCAGAGACCACCGAAACCTAAGAACGTTTGATTCTTTAAAAAGATCTTCAGCTTGGTCTTATACACCGATCCAATAGTGTGCAAGATTTCTAAACCAAAACTTTCCATCTTCAACGATTCCGCTTCGTACTTTAATTTTTGTTTAAATGATTCTGCAACGTCTTCTTTCATATCTGTTTCAGTGAATAATGAGAGCTTGTCGATCAATTTTTTGGCTAATTCCTCTCTCATTTCGATCTTCTTTATCCTACATTCTTCTTCGAATTTTTCAAGTTCTTCCTTACGCTTTAACTCTTCTTTTTCTTCCTTGGTCAATTCCTTCTTATCTCCATCCTTTGTGGCTGCATTACTAGCACCCGACGAATCTTCTAAAAATAACTTTTGGGTCTTGTCACGTAACTGAACGTCTTCTTCGTCCTGCGATTTAGTATTGGTAGGAGCATCACTAGTAGTAGTTCCTGATTGCGTGGAATCCTGCGATTTCGACTCACTTGCTTTCGTGCTGGGATTTTCGCCGGTCTTTTCTTCTTCCTTTGTATCCTTCTTTTCCTCATCTCCATAGCCAGATAACTCAGCAGACTTGGTTAACTCTTGAAGTAAGGATAATTCACCAATCCAGTCCTTAAATGCATCTCCTCCAAAAATCATAGAGAAAAATTCCGATGGATCTTCAAATCCTTCACTAGGAATCGATTCTTGTTTACCATATTTATCATACTTTGACCGCAAATTATCGTCCGACAAAACTTGGTATGCCTCCCCAACTTCTTGGAACTTGGCTGCTGCTGTAGGGTCTCCTGGATTCTTATCTGGATGAAGTCTAATTGCAGCTTTTCTGTATGCCTTCTTTATGTCCAATGAAGTTGCATCGGGCTGAAGATTCAATAAATCATAATATGTAGTATCTACGACCATTAGTTCAGCCTAATCAAATGTTCTTTCTCTATTGCCAATACTATTTCGACTATAAGTCTTTCAATTCTGGTACTATGGTGCAAATATGACCTTCTATACAATGTCTGTGGCAATTTATCACAAGATGACATAGGATCTACGCGCACGACTTTCTGATGTATGGAATATAGCTAGGACGACTACTAATATCTAAATAACGTTCTATATTTGTAATATTATATGAATTCAATGGTTATATACAAGAAGAAGATTAAGCTGAATAATATACTTTTCTCAAATCTACTAATCTCTTACCTCTACCAGCAGCAAGGTCCTCTAAAGGTCTTTGCTTGGTTAAGGCTTCAACGAACCCTTTGGTTACGTTCATTGGGTTTCTAGACTTGTAGATCTTACCTCTCAAGTCTTTGATACCAGCAGCCTGGCACACTTCGAAGATGTTAGGATTGACTCTCAAACCAAACCCAGATGGAGCCGACTTAATAAATAATTTGACCGCATGGAATTTGTACTCAATGTCACCTACAATGGTTCTCTTTTCATATCTTGGAATAGGAGTCAAGTTTTTTACTGCGTTCCAGTGGGCCTTGACCAATGCAGTTCTCATACCGTCTCTTGACTTACCTTCACCTAAACCAATCATACCATTTTTGTCACCCACGACAGTCAAGGCATAGAAGTTAGGAATCTTACCTTTCGAAGTTTGACACGAAACTCTCTTCATAACAATCGGACGCACATAAAGGTTTGATATATAACGTTGATCTAAACCTGTCAACTTAGCTAAACCTTCGGCGATTTCCCTTTTACCCTTCAATGCAGACGAAAATTTTTTAGGGCCAGCTTCCGGCTTGAAACGCAAGGCTAAATCAGTTCTGTCGGCTGCTTGGATTTGGGGAATAGGTGGATAAGGAGAGTGATTCTTGGGTTGGTTTGGATATATGATAGGCTCGGTCCATTTTGGATCAGTGGTTGAGTAGTCTGACGATTCATCTGATGGGGCTACCCTCGATTTGGTTTTTTCTCCTTGCTTTTTCAACTCTAATACAGTCTCTGGATCCACCAATGACTCAGTAATCTTGATACTTTGTAATAATTCTGGTGTATAGAACTTGGACAAAAAATCAATATGCTTGTCGACTTTTGGTACCTTACTATTGATAATTTTGGATGTAGAAAATGCCTTACTCCCTCTTATTATACTGGAGGGACCAGGTAAACGAAATGTACACTTGAACATCCTCACTTAGTCGTTGACTTCCTTGATCTAAGTATTGGTGTAGTGGTAAATGAATGAATTTTTCATTTTTTCAAATTTCGAGATTCCTCTTACCCGGACTTTTATAATCTATACTGTACCAGTCGATTTTGCAATCACCTTCATTCTATATTGCCATATAATAGCCTAGACGTGACAATATAACAAGCTCTACGTTAGATATTGTGGTATTTATTTAAATAAATAGGTTATAATTTGAAAAAAAAACGAATCGATTGATAATATCCCAAGACATCACCATGGAAAAAACTACAGAGAATGAATAGCTACCAATGTATAACTAATATTCTGTATCCAAAAAGACTTCTTAATGTCCAGTAAATATAAATCCCAGTTTACTCGCTATTTTCATAATTGGCTAATAGATAGTGAAAATGTTCTGGTACAATATCTGATGATTGATAGTTCTGTATGCAATGTTGGCAATACCTACATCGCAAATATGAACGAAAGAGGAATATTATATATTTGATGCTTGATTACGGCTATGTTAACTGAGGGTAATGGCGACAGTACTATCGGATTTACCATAGGTTGTGGGTATTATTATATCACGATATTTATTCTTCATGCTTTAAAAAATCCAAGAAATCTATTTCTTCAAAGCATTCTGAATGTTCCGTGGTACTTGACCACTTTCTGTCGTTTGTTTTGGAATAGTTCATCGTATGGAAATCATTAATTTCCGAGGAGTGGTTTAAATACAGAAACGATTTCTCATTTGGAATAATATTACTACTATTAGTATTACTGTGCTCTTGTAGGTGCGGTGGGAGAAAGGTTTTGTCTCCTGAAAGAACACCAGAAAAATCATGCAAATTAGCATCTTCCACACAAAAAGATTCTGTTTTCAAATAACTCATATTGTCAGATTGGTGAACTTCCAGAGGTTTTGGCAATGAGAATAACGGAAAAAAAGATATCAATCTTCGCCAGCGAGGATATTCAAAGTTTATGGTTTGGGACTTATCAACTTTAATTGTTGTAATTTTCCAGGGTTTTTCTCTGATTAAGAATACAAAAGTATCCACCGCACAATTGAATGGTTGCATGAATGCTGCAGTTCCATTCAACCATATATGTGGTTTCACAGATAGTCCATATCTCAAGTCCATTCCATGGACTACAGTTGTGAAGATCCACAATAGAAGATATGAAACTGGGTAGATAAATATCGCCCTCATTTGCCATTGAGCCTGCAATCTGCGGGATCTGAAATGCTGAAGAGTTTCACTGCTTATGTCACTCTGTAAAGATCCACGATGGACAGTATGCAATTGAGTTTCGTCATTTTTTGAAGCAAGTGTGAAACAGAACAAATAACCCATAATGTTTCTAAACTTTCTTGTAAATCTATGACGCTTACGGCGTGTATCATCTATCGCCAATGTATTTTCAACTTCACTGTACTTTTTCTTTACATGTCGATAAATGCAGCAATATATAACAACTATCGATGCCATAATAATATACCGGGGAATCCAGCTTAAAGCTAATCGATACCAAATTGGTCTACTGGGAGTATAGCACCAATTGGTTAACGGTACATAACCATGGTCACTAACAAACGGAATTGCAGCAAGCACAATCGGAAGCAATACCGACACCACGTACACACTATGCCTATATGGATACAACCCACCTTCATAATTCGACCCTCGTTTAACTCTTTGATTGGGTTTATACACTAATAATGCAACATGAATTGCAAAACTCAAGATAGCGATATCAGATCCTTCTATTGCAAACGCAGTGAAAAATCCCGACACTTTACAGAATTTTAGATCATCATATGCCCCGTAATTCGCTAAAACAACGGATGGATAAACCAACAAGAAGATAGCCTTTATTAAGTCATGTAGAATCAAAAAAATAACTAACTGATGCCTGAAAACTCGTTTTCTATAATCAATAGCTAGAAAGAAATACACTCCAATGAATCCTGCAACTATTGAAATTGAAGCTGAAACTATCGATATTATCCTCTGTCTATCTGCCTGGTGTGTGGTATAACGACTGAGATCATCCGTATATGGCCATACTGAGCTCATTTCAAAGGCATTAGAAACTGTTCCAGTTGGCTTAGATAGCTCAACGAATTTCGCATTTCTACTTATGCCCTCCATGAAATATCTGACGGTGAAACGGAATCTATCAAATGTTGACCTCTACATCTATCTGATTCAAACGAAGAGATTTGAAGTAATTTTAAGATATTATGGTCATGCAGTCCTTGTTCAAAGCGAGGTGAAATCCAGCATGTCATGCAACTTTATGTTAACATCTGCGTTTAGCCAAGTGTAGTACTATGATCGTTGCTGTGTATCGCATTATGCAGATCTCACAACAAGACACCATAGAGATAGTTTTATATGTATGTACTTACAGATGCTAGGGCCATACTCGGTTATCCATATGATGATTGAGGTACCTCATCTCATTGCGTACTCTTAATGACCTTTGGATTATTAAAATTATCGCATGCAAAATTAATAATTAAGCCTTTGTGGGGTGCAGAAAGAGAGCAGCTCATAATAAGTTTTGCAATAGAACACTCAGTTTCCGCTGCATTCTACTATGCGTATATTCATCTAACAACTTCTATACAACAAGCTGTGTTTAGTTTACAGATTATTCAGTTGATCCTTATTCTTGATCAAAATACTTTATCACAGGATAAATTATATGGCTACCTAAAAGCACTTGTACGAAAATATTAATCTTTTTACAAGCTGTTTGTCTCGCTATTGATAATTATAGATAGATGGATAATAATCGTTGAAAATCAACTCAACAGTATAAAATCTAAAACAGCGTAAATATTTAGATCCGAAAATAAATAAAATTCAAATCCTATAACAAAACACAAGGGATGACTATCTTAAACTAGGCCACATAGGCCTATTATTATACAAAACACAAAAACTTGGGTATGATGAATCTGGAAAATAATTCGATGAACTGGAATGTAACCAAAACCCAATAGTTTAACCTATTGGATCAATGACTGGTGATTCACGTTCCAGTTGGACAAAATCTGCTTGAGCCTTAGGTTTGTCGTCTTCGCGTTCATTGTTCTTCTGCTGTAACTCGATTACTTCCATTTTCAACTTTTCAACTTCTTTCTCTAATCTCTTACCGAAAACATCAATATAATATGTAGCACCATTATATGACGCCCATATAAATATGAACAGCATGAATGCACCACAAGCATGCTTATATCTGAACCAAATTGGGCAAAAACTCATGGTCAAAATTTGATATCCAAATTGAATTAACGTAAAGGCAGTGATTTGCATCCACGTATATGGCAAAGAATTGACAAATTTGCCCAATGGATCATTCTTGTTTTTCTTCTTGAGATAGGTGAATGAAGTCACTTTACCCTTTTCAATCTGTTCTTTTCTCTTGATAGTGATAAAGTAGTGGTAACACACTTGCCAAAGAGTGTAATATATGGAGGTCCAAATTATACCGTTGATAAAGTTCCAGCGATCAATACTGGCCACAGCTGGAAATCTGACGGCCCTGTATTCCTCTGGCAATTCATGCACAATAACGAACAACGTTACTGGGGGCATAATATGTATAAATGAACTGGTGGATTTTTCGATCGAGTGTAATACAAGCGAGTTTCTCCACGTAATGACCGCAAACGATAACGTTCCCATGGCCAACGAAAACACCGACACGAAGAGTGGTTTCGAGTCTGGGAATCCCCAAATAAATAAAATTAACAATAAATTGACATAGTAACACAAATCCGCCAAATAGTATTGAAATGAAAGCTTGAAATACGTGTAGAACCTGATAGGCATCAACACACAGAACAAAGCCGTGTGAAAGACATGGAACCATTGCGGATATTTCCCTATCAAAAACCCGCATGTGGCAATCAAAGATATGGCCAACGCATAGAACAACTTCTCAGCAGCTGATGAACGCAAGCTATCGTGAAGTCTCTTGTCAAATTTCCCCACATGGGCCATGAAATTCTCATTGAGCTTCATCAACTCTGTATTCGAGTCGGTCTTTCTTGCCTCATCCTTGAGTTGTTGAAATCTCTGTTTCGTCTTTTCTTTCATCTTGTTGAACTTCTTCTTGGTCGAATCACTCACCATATCCACATCAAACCCAAAGTCAAAATCCGATAAAAATAACAACTTGGATAAATCAATAAACGATACACTGGCCGATGAATCACTTCTCTTCAATGTATATGTGCTGCTGCTGCCCTCATCATCTTCATTTAAGACCGCAGATTCATCCCTACCATCGTCTTGCTCGTTCTTTCGGCGCAAATTAACTTCCAGTAGCATTGAACTATTGTCAATATCATTCGATCCAATACTAGAAACCGAACTCATTCTTCTTTTGTTAAAATTACAATTCCACTTACTGTGTTGAACTGAAACCAGTGACAGTGATGATATATGGGCCATATTTTGCAATTTTGTGTAATGGAATTCTGGTAATACCTTAGTACTTGCTATGGGTATATATCTTCAAATAAGTATTATATATGACAAAGAATATAAAATACTACATTTCTAGGATAATACTTTGTTATTATCAGATCAATATTAACATATTACAGTGTTATGTATAGATATTAGTATCATAATAAATACATGTGGTTTACAAACCCACGTTTCCCAATCACAGTGGCTGCTAATTCTACTTAGTAAGAAATTATGCGAGTCAATGACCATCAGAAGATAAGAAGAGGCGTCGGTAGTCGTATGACTGGATTCCTAGAAGAGAAACTATTTTTTAACCAGTAATCATCGACTAGCAAAACATTGGGCCTATATTGGATGGAACCAATTCTATATCCGGTCAGGTGACCTTTTCCGAAGGGTTCATAAAGCATAGAGGACCAAGCCAAGAAGACGAATTTACAGGGTCAAAGTGGTATAATAAGGGGAAAAAACGACATGGGGAATCAGAATTACAAGACGGTAAACTTTTTGGCATTCAACTTTGCTGGATTTGCGTGCATTGCATTAGTGGTTTTCCTTTCGTCTACGCAGCCATTCTTCTTAGACCTGGTGGTACGGGTAGACAGTAAAAAAATTGGCAGTATAATAGGTACTTTGGGATTTATAGATGAATTGACATCGGTTGTGACATCTCCTTTTATAGGGGCGTTGTGTGATAAAGTGAATAATATGGTTTATGGTACTGGGATACGGATGGTCGGAGGGACTAGGGCTATTGAATTTGGGGGATTTGGATTGATAGGGATCAGTTTAATTGGATATGCAAAATTAGGAAACAGTATAGACTGGTTATATTTGTGGAGACCCGTATTTGCAGTTGGGGTTACTGGTTGTATGAGCATGGTGACAGTGATGTTGAATGAATTATCAAACTCCGACTTTAAATTGGCATTCTGGAAGAAACAAAATGAAGTAGTTGAGCATGAATTCGAAGACAGAGAGACCCTTGAAGCTGATGGGTCGTACACAGTGGAAGATATTCCAGCTTGGGAGGAAGGGAATAAGAAACATGGGAGATATGCTGCGTTTATTGGTATATCAACCGGTTTGGGGGCCATTTTTTCCGTATCTTTCTTCCTTCCAATGCCATCTAAACTTTCGGACTCACTTTCTATACCAATTAAGGAAGGTCTCCAGCTATCCTATTTAATTCTAGGATTCGTAGCAATTGCTGCAGGGGGGTTTTTATTGGTAACTCTCTATGATTCGACAAGACACAATGAGTCAGTGCCTCACACAAACAGACCTGGGTACTTTCAATTACTTCATGAAGGGGTTCTTGCGTCAAAGGGCAATATTAAAATTCAATTGGCGTATTTGGGGTCGTTTGTGGCCCGGTCAACTACGGTGGTCATGTCGGTATTTATTCCGCTATTAGTGTACAATTTCTACTACAAGAGCGGAATATGTGGTTCTGACGGGGATGGCATGCCGTCCAAACAAAGCTGTCGTGATGGATATGTATTTGCAGCAATATTGACTGGTGTCGCACAAACAGTAGCTCTATGTTCAGCTCCATTATGGGCATGGCTTATAGACCACCCACTGATCGGGAGTACAAAGTCTTTATTTATATCTTCATGCCTAGGGATAATAGGGTGCTTCGGATTGTGCATCATGGGTTCCAAATCCGATATCTACGACCCCAGAACCGCAGGTTCCTTCATAGTCGTGAGCTTTATTGGCTTATCACAAACGGGGGTTATAATTACAAGCATGAGTTTTATTAGTAGCTTGAAAAAAACTGGTAATTCGACAGATACAATCGGCAGCATAAGTGGTTTATATACTTTATGTGGTGGACTAGGTATTTTGATCATTACAAAAGTTGGAGGCTTATGGAGTGACCGCTGGATTTTAGGTCCGTTCTTTGTTCTAGGCTTATTCAACCTTATCTTGACCGTAGTATCCGCTATTGGTTTATAAACATGCTCTATGATACTATTAGATATAGATATATATATACATATGGTAGACCTAGATCAACAAACTTCTCACGTGAATCCATTCAAAAATGAAAATTTCGCTATAGTATAGACTTCTTTGTCTTTTGAATCAATTTAATACCTACAAGCAGTAAGGATGATTGAGGTTCTATTGACAGTGGTACCATCGCTTTGTTGGATTGTATATCGCTGTTATCAATTACTTCAAACGCCAGTGGAAGGCTTAATCGAAGATTTGAATATAGAAATTCCTCATGCACCTACCATTTGCATTGATTCAATAACCCATACCTCCGTGGTTATTCACTGGGATATTGAAATAGCATCCGATGAAAGCCTTATATACGTGCTTTTGATCAATAATCAAGAAGGTATGTTAAGAAATGAGTAGAAATATATTTTGAAGCAATACTAACCAAAATAGCGGCAACTATGGGCGTAACATCATGCCAACTCAATAACCTTTTAGAGAACAAGTTATACCAGATTCAAGTAGTAGCAATAAATGTGGTTACTAACTTTAGGTCTCAGTCGGCTCCGGTGTTTATTGAGACTTTACCCAAACCTGCAAATCAACTTCAAAGCAACACGACATTACCTATGATCACCGACAATGAAGTCAAAGTGTCCAGAATCAGTCAAATCAAAGATTCTGACTCGAAACCTTCAAAGACTAATTTGCCATTGCATTTAGAACCTGAGGATGTGAAGACTAATAAATCACCTGAATCCTTGAATGAATATCTTTTGCTCTATCAAAACGAGTTACGCAAGGCGAGGGAAGAATATGAAATGAATCATGACCAGCTCAATCAAGAAATAGGCAAATTGAATCAAGAATTGAAATTTTATAAGAAAGAATATGAACAAGAAACTGGGACTAAGATGAGAAAAGATTTCAACGTCAAGGACCTAGAGAAAAAGAGAGATAACTTAACTTTCCAAAAAAGTAAGATCGCTAAAGAATTGAAGTCTCTAGAATCGATGAATGATATTTATAAGTCTGAATTAAATGACTTGAAGAATAAGATAAAGAAATTGACGGAAAGGAAGCAACAGATTATGAGATATGAAAAGACTGATCGCCTGAAAATAGAGAGACAAATTAAAAAGGTTATGGGAGAAATTGAAATATTGAAAATAGAGAACGATGAAAGTGAAGATGTCTGCAAAACTTTAACTGCAGAAAAGAAAGAGATTTCTATTGCTTTTAATAGCCTTAAGCCATTAGTCGAATCATTCAACAGTGAAACTATTTTTAATAAAGAAGGAAATTTAACCCCAAAAGCAAGTGAATTATTGGATAAATTATACAAGCTCCAGCCAACCTGGGCAAATGACATTACCAATGAAATCTACAACTCAGTCAATTTTGAAATTAACTGGAAATCAACGTTTAGATCAGAAATCAGAAAGTTTTTATCAATCCAACATAGCTTCGAAATTGCCAAAGTTAATCAGGATAAAACTTATCAGCCGATTAAAATGTCTGAACATCAGGCTAGTATAGAGTTTGGTGGTTTTAGTAACGCATTGCCTAAGAAACCTAAGCGAAGCTTTTCTCCGTTGACTTCTCTGCAATCACAAGTGAATGATGAGCATAGTAATGACCAAGGGAATGACCAAGGGAATGAATGGTATAATTTCTACGGACAGGTTTATTCGAATGAATCGGCAGAACAACTTCAGAACTTACCAAACCAACAGCAATATAATGAGCATTTTGATCCTATCCCATCGCAAGGAGTGACTTATGATGACACGGTTTACAGTCAAGTGAATAATGGTCTTCTTAACTCTCCAGTCCAGGAGGATGCATTGCTACAAACTGATTTGTTGAACCAGGATCTTTTGACCCCCAATTCGTTGATGAGGAATAATGAGTCATATTTTGGCTATCAGTCTTCGTTGCCCAATATTAACACCGTATGGAATTCAGGCATAGATACAAGAATGAATGCTAATATGAATGCAAATATCACTAATGCCAATATGAACCATACCAGCCTTAATACTGGGTTATCTGGAGTCAATTCCAATATTAACAATCCTACTATCAATAATACCAACATTAGTGGTTTGTCTGGCACCAACATGTCCAACTCCAACTCCAGCTTGAATTTCGGGTTAAGCAACATGCCTGCTGACTTGAATAGCCCCTATAGTGACTTTAAAGGGAAGTATGGGGATCTACAGACCCATTACAATGACTTGAACAGATTGCCGTATAATCCCGACATTAGCCTTTTTAACCCGGTTTTGGACCGCAGTGTCTCCAGTCTCAACAACAAGTACTTTGCTCCTCAAAATGCCGATGTTGAGCTCAATGATACTCCTACGTCTACAACAAGTAACAATCCTATCCTGTCACCAATAGGCTCCTTGCTTTCTCCGCCACCTCATACGACTCAGCACCAAAAGGACTTTGGTAATTTATGGCTAGACAAACCCTACACCCTGCATAATAGAACTGTGTCGGGTTCCAACTCCCAGATTTGGAGAAATGATCATTTAGGCCACAGTCATAATTTCAATTTGCAATTGTTTTCGTCTTCTCCTTCGTTAAACAAAAACGAGAGTGACCTAGACTTGAGCCAAAATACTTAAACTCCGCTCCTTGTTTATACTTATTGCGAATTGAATCTATATTGTATATATGTTGACTCTATATTGACTCCATACTGACTCGTGTACTCATTGTAGGCATTTTGCTCGCTTCTCTCCACCTCAAATATGGATTTTATATTTACTATATGGAAAAAAAATGGCTATTGTTAGCTTGCTTAACGTTTCTTTATTGTTGAACGGCATTTTTCTTTTCGCAGTCGGCATAAACGGACAAGTTGCGAATTTTTTGACTGATGAGGTTCCAAAATCATAAAAGCCGCATATTACAAATAGAACTTATAAATATTTCATGATTGACATTTTTCTCAACGGTTTGTCATCTCATCATATATATATAGCAGTATTCCGGGGAGGCTAATCTGGAATAAACTATAGAAAAAAAATAGTTCAAAATACAAAAAATAGACCAATAGACTTAAGATGACAGTAGAAATAACACCGGAATATTCTACTCATAATGAGTTTAGAAGTGATACTTTTACTGTGCCTACCAAGACGATGTTAGAATCGATTCAAAACAGTACATTTGGTGATTCCGTGTATAACGAAGACAAAGCTACATTGATGTTAGAAAAAAAGATGTGTGAGTTGACCGGAAAGCCAGCAGCGTTATTCTGTGTAAGTGGAACATTATCGAACCAAATTGGATTGAGGGCTAATTTGTTACAGCCACCATACTCCATTTTATGTGACTATAGGGCACACGTATTCCTTCATGAAGCTGGTGGATTGGCCACTTTGTCACAAGCCATGGTACACCCAGTGCATCCTTCTAATGGAGTTTACTTGACATTGGAAGACATTGTAGAAAATATCACTCCTGATGATGGAGACATCCATGCAGCACCAACCAAGCTTATCTCGTTAGAAAATACATTACACGGAACTATCATGCCTATAGAAGAGATTGCTAGAATCAGTGCTTTTGCCAAAGAAAATAATATTAAGTTGCATTTAGACGGGGCCAGATTGTGGAATTCTGCCGCGGAAACGGGTATTTCGATTGAGAAATATTGCTCATACTTCGACTCGGTTTCGTTATGTCTTTCGAAATCGATTGGAGCTCCTGTCGGTTCCATCTTAGTTGGAGAACCCTCACTCATTGCCAAGGCCAACCACTTCAAAAAACAAAACGGTGGTGGTATCAGGCAAGCCGGTATTTTGGCGTCGATGGCTATGGTGGCCATCGATGAGAATTTCGCAAAATTGCCTTACTCGCATGCCCTCGCTAAAGATGTCGCAAGCTTCTGCGAAGATCATGGAATCGCATTGGAAACTCCGGCTCATACCAACTTTGTCTTCCTTGACCTTGTAAAGAACAAGATGGATGACTCATTACTTATTGAATTAGGAAAAAAGTACAACGTTAAGTTGATGGGTGGTAGAATCGCATTCCACTACCAATTATCCGAAGAAAGTGTCGACAACGTCAAGAAGGCTATATTGGAATGTTACCAAGATGCATTAAAAAACCCATACACCAAAACCAAATGTAACAAGAAAATGTACAATTTTGATGCCATCAAGAATTCATTAGTCTCCAATTAATATATAAGCATCCTATAATGAGCGTATCTAATCTATCCTAATAATATACATGTATGATAATATATAAGTAATAATAAAATCGTGTATTGCCTGATTTTTTTTCCTACTCCGAAACCACTGTTTTGTCGCACCATCATAAACCTTCCGATCTTGGAGCCAACAACCCACCGCATTTAGTTTTTGTCCTATAAACTAAACTAAATTTTATCAACACAGCATCATCTTGGGCCAAAGACCATTTATAGCAATTGGCAGCATTAGACATTTAATCGGATCTCTACGATTCGGATTTAAGCCGACAGTACGCATTAAAGGATCTGTGGTTGACATAGACTAGGGTGCTTAAAGTCCGCCGGGAGGGTTATAGTATAAGATGGTTTTCTCAAGGCTAATAACTAGTACGGCTAATGCATGCATCATAAGATATTAATCCGAGAAAAGGAAATTTGATTGCTCCACGGATAAAAAGAGAAATTCAGCATGCCCCGAAAAAGGACCGGAAATAGTCCATCCGGCCAGGTGCTTTCACTAAAACTCTGGCCGGACGAATGCCGGAATATAAATTATACGGTATCTCAGCAGCTATATGTGTGGAAACCATCCGATTACGGGTATTGATAGAGAGGTTATAAATATGGTAGCAATCTAGACAAAACAAGTATTGAGGAGTCAGAATCAAGAGTAATAAGAGCTCAATAGTGAAAAGTAATAGATAATACTAATAATATGACGCAGAATTCGTTATCAAGCCTGGCTTCATTAGATGATGAGGCCTATAATCCTAACCCACTTACAGAAAATTACGTCAACGATGCACAATCAGAATTATCACCAATTAATTCGAGATATACTACTACATCAGATAGGAAATCATTGAGAATGAGTAGAAGTGAGACTAGAAAATCATTACAAGATTTAGGTTTATCATCGGAAATACCTACCCCCGATCTTGTACATCCTCCAGTGGAGGATCCTATCTTTCCAGAAGAATACACATTAGAAACAGATACAGGTTTAGTGCAGGTACAAACATTGCAATCATTGGGTAGACGGAAAACGATGGAATCCGGCCATCATTTGCATGTAATAAATTCAGAAGATTCATCGAGTAAAGAGAAACTGGAAGCTTCCGACCTTAATTCAAGCCCAGAGAAAGTATTAGATCCAGAGATAGAGTTTGTGACATTTACCATTGGGGATCCTGAGAATCCCCATAACTGGCCTATGTGGGTCAAATGGTCTTATACGGCCTTGTTTTCTATATTCGTCATTTGTGCTGCATACGGGTCCTCATGTTTAGCTACTGGATTACCCACTATTAATGAGAAATTTGGTGTTTCCACCGAAGTTTCTACATTATCAGTGTCCTTATTTGTCATTGGTTTCGGAGTGGGTTCCATGTTTTGGTCTCCTCTTTCTGAACAACCAAGGTTTGGAAGAAGAATAGTTTACTTCGTTTCATTTGGACTTTATGTGATATTCAATATTCCCTGCGCTTTAGCAAAGAACATCGGTACTGTCTTGGTTTGCAGATTCTTATGTGGTGTGTTCTCATCTTCTGCTTTGGCAAATGTAGGTGCCAGTTTAGTTGATATGCATAACGATACAAGAGGTTTGGCAATCGCATTTTTCAGTTTCTGCCCCTATTCTGGACCTGTTTTAGGTGGTATTGTCAATGGTTTCATCAGTGTCAATACAGGAAGATACGAGTTAATGGTTTGGGTGAACATGGCATTTGCAGGAGTAATGTGGATTATCATTTCATTTATTCCAGAAACATATGCACCTACCATATTAAGAAATAGGGCTGCAAAATTAAGAAAGGAAACTGGTAATCCAAAAATTATGACAGAACAAGAGGCAACCCCAATGGCATTCAAGGAAGTTGTTAATACTCATTTATTACGTCCAATCAAGTTTATTGTTCAAGAACCTACTTTAGTAATAGTGTGTGGTTACGTGATGTTGATTTATTCATTGCTTTACGCATTTTTCTTTGCATATCCTGTTATTTTCAACACTTTGTACGGATATAAAGATGATAAAATTGGATTAATGTTTATTCCAATCTTGATTGGAGCTGGTTTAGCAGTTATGACGACAGTTATTTTGGAAAAAAATTATAAAAAGATTTGCATGAGAAGAACACCAACTCCAGAAGATAGATTAATTGGTGCTATGATCGGATCTCCATTCCCATGTATTGCCTTATTTATTTTAGGAGCTACTTCGTATAAACACATTATTTGGGTCGGGCCAGCTTCATCTGGTATCGCTTTTGGGTATGGAATGGTGCTTATTTACTATTCTTTAAACAACTACATTATAGATACATACGCCAAGGTGGTAGCTTCTGCCTTAGGAACTAAAGTTATAACTCGTCTGTGTGGTGGTGCAGCGTTCCCATTATTCATTACCCAAATGTATAACGGTTTAGGATTGCAGTGGGCCAGTTGGTTACTTGCATTTGTTTCGTTGGCAATGGTGTTAATTCCATTTTTATTTTACGCATATGGTAAGGTCTTGAGAGCTAAGTTATGTAAACAAGACTATTCAGCCGTACATCATTAATTAATTAATAATAAATACATTTATTTATATCTAATACATAATTTATCAAATATAATTCAAGCATTTTAATAAGCGCCGTGATGCATTTCATCTACTTGAAGAGAAGCAAGCTTCGTTGTAATCGAATGCTTTGTCTTCTTGACCAATTTCGTAATCTTATCTAATTTAACGCCTGTGATTGCTTCCATAAATGCTCCGATTTCAATATTTTCATGATTTCCTAATAAGCCATAATACGGCTTGTTGGATAATAATCGAGATCTAATTTGTTTAGAATTTGTGTATGCGTAAATATTAACATCCACAGCCGAATGACCATGAGTTGTCCACCCAGTTTGCGATCTCACAGAAACTATATTGTTTAAAACATATAATAAATTTGGTCCGCTATTTGAATAGTGTTTAATGGTTTCAATTTCCTCTGTAGTGTAGTCTGTGATTCCCAAATCCTTTTCAAGGATTTCTTTCACAATGAACTTGTCAAGAGTTGTTACGTCGTCGTTAGTGGAAGTGAAGTTGACAATCTTACTAGACAAATATTCTCCTGAGTGTGTACTGTTTAATAAAACTTCTGGGTACCATATATAGTCAGGATAGGAAGGTGTATTTTGTCTTGATGTGACTAAACCACCTGTTTCGTGGTCTGAGGTAGAAATTGCAACAGTATCAGTATCAGTTTCGTCAATGAACTTTAACACTTCTTTAAATGCATCGTCGTAAGCTAAAACTTCCCTAACCTGAGCAGCAGGATCGTTGTGGTGGCCGGCATGGTCAATACGAGAACCTTCAATAAGGAAAAAGAATCCTTTGTCGGAATCCTTAGTAGCCTTCGATAAAGCAGTTAAGGCAACTTTAACCTGTTCTGCTAATGATGGATAGACCTTTGGATCTCTATCGATATCATAAGGAATATCGGTGTCAGCCAATAAACCCAATAATGGAAATTGGACATTATGACCGTGTTTCAATTGATCAAATTGTTCGCGGTTTCCCACATAATTCCATCCTTTTTCATGCTGTGCTTCTTCCACCAAGTTTCTGTCATCTGAACGACATCCACCCTTATGTGACTTGGGTAAGAAATGACATCTTCCACCTCCAATGATCAAATCCACCATTCTTCCCAAAGGATACCCTCCCAACTGTTGTTCAGCTATCATGTCTTCTTGATATCTCTGGTCGACGTGTGAGCTAAAAGCAGCCGGAGTAGCATCAGTTATTCTCGTAGTAACAACCAATCCTGTCATATATCCTTGGAGCTTCAAAGCCTCTAAAATTGTTCCGCACGGCTCACTATCAGCTGAAACTCCGATGGCTCCATTATACGACTTTAATCCACAAGAAAATGCAGTCGCCCCAGCAGCAGAATCTGTAATAAGTGAAGAATTAGACCTGGTCCTCGAAGACCCAACTAAATGTTGATCTAACTGCAAAACATCGTCAATGGGAAGCCCATCTCTGAACTGCTTGAACGATCTCGCAAGCGATAAAGATGCTGGTCCCATACCATCTGTAACCATAAATATCACATTTTTTTTCTTATTGGTATCAACTTCCATAGGTTCAGGTCCCTTTATGTTCGATAAACACAAGTACACAGTACCGATAATAACCACCACATGCGTTAAATACTTCAAATATTTCTCAAATGAACTCTTCTTCTTTGTATTATATAACGAGATAGGTTCATCTCCTAACAAGGAGGACTTCTCTGTTGTCATTTTCACTTTTAATAACTAAATGTATTAGCGTTAGAAACAAGATTAGTGTAGATATATATAGTAATGAGGTGCCCAGTTTTATTGGCCGCGCCAACCCATTTGGGTCACACGACTCATAAATAATCTATTGATGATTTTGCACCTACTGATAAGCAAATAGAACGGTCATTTCAAGGGATATTCGTCTAGTTTTTGTTGGGAATAACCGTGGAAGACATTCAAATAGTTATTAAGTTTACTGTGTTTAAATAGCATAAGTATTTATGTAGAAATCGATATAAATTTCCACCTTTTGTCATTAAAGGGCCCACGTTTTCTGTTTTATGGGATAGCAGCAGCTGGAACACGATCAACAGGATATTTGGAAGTAGTGAATATGTAATAATAAGAGAAATGGAGAGATAGAAGCAAGTCCAAATAACATGTCAGATCTCTTTGAAAGATTTATAGAGATATCAGTAAATTTTACATAGACCTCTCCATTTGATCACGCAACAAAACAGTAAGTCTATTAATATGTTTCTTGGGATACCAATAGTCCCAATGTAGCCAGCATAAATGTCATTGAGCTGAAGTGAAATCAATGAATGAGGATACTTGTTGTAGGTAGAGTTGATAGTAAGATTCTGGAAATTAGATGCTCGTTGTAAGGGTCTAGATAAGGGGAGATTTTGGATGTATAGAAGGTTTATTTATTAATCTAGCAACATCTGGCCGAGTACAGAGCTTCTCCGGAATAAGAAAAATAAAAAACGGCAAGGTATTGCAGACTCTAGGTCTAAATATATAATAACGATTCCGATAGCGTTGTGTCTTTACGGGTCAAGTACATCTAACTTAAAAATCATGCACCGTGATACTTTGTGAATCATCTATATCCTTGATGATAAGATTTGCAATCGACAAGTCCATAACAGACAAACCCACCAATTTCAGAACAACGACATTGGTCGAGGTGGTGTACTCGCTAGGGTCTTTCTTTGACTTGCAAAAGTCTGTTAATTCGATAAGCTGACTTTCGTCGATACCACTTTGTATCAATTCTCCGGCTTCGTGTAAAGTATGCTCTTTTGAATCCACGAGGATCTTCGGTTTCGACGCTGCTTCCTTGTATTGGGGAACAATGAAATCTAAGTCTAATTCTATCATGTGTGGTTTGTAAGAACCTATTAATGAAATGAATTTCTTTACTTTTGGGTCCAGGTTTATGTAGTCTGCCTTAATGACAGCCTCTGTAGATGGAGAACATCCAAAAATGATGGAGCTATCAGAAACCTGCTTCTTGATTGTACTCAATTGATCATCCTCAGAATACAGATACGCCTTGAATGATACATTAGGAAACTCCATAAGTAGCTTGTTGGCCAACTCTTCGCCGTTCTTCAACGTTCTATTGATGATATTGACGTGGTTAACTTTATCTTGGTACAAAATAAGGGCAAGCTTGACATGCCAGTACGCCTGCAAACCCACTCCAAATACCGAAATACTCGAAATTGAAGCATCACTGTCATAAGGATCAAGAACCTTAACCATTGGGATAGTACTTGCCAATGCTGTTCTAAAAGCTGTAATAGATTTGGCATTCAAAACTCCCTGAAGTGATCCGGTATATTCATCCAATACCAAGATACATCCTTGAAAGCCTAAGCCATTCTTAGAATTACTAGGTCCACCTGAAATGAGCTTGATGCCAACTTCATTAGGTGCTATGCAAGGCATAAATAAGTGGGTTGTGTCTGAATTCTCCGTATTGGAAGTTTGTACAATTCTCGGAGGTACTATATTTGATGGATCTTTTTCATAGTTTAAGAGGCCCTTCAATAAAGAAGGTTGAAATTTATTAATAATAGCATCTCTGCTAAGAGTGGAATTGAAGTACTTTTCAACGTTGTCTTCTGTTATGATCTTCATTTCTAATATAAGTATTTTTATTTCTTTACCGTATATAATTCTTCATTATCGATCTCGGATATCTTACTAGTAGGAGCAAAATCTACAAAATTCTCGGAACAAGCATACAACACAAGGTACGTCATTGTAACTATACATAATCATACACTGATATCTAGTCTAATTTTTTATGCCATCTGTCCATTATCAGAAAAAACCTATCCCAATCACGTCCCCCAAGCAATGATTCATTCCGTTCAATTTCACTACTATTGTCCAATTTCATTAATTCACTCTCCTTGAAATCCTTGATCTCTTTTAAAACTTTTGTCAATTCTAATTGATCTTCAGGACTTGATATACTCTGTACCGATGCCAACTCATCTAAAATCAACTTTTCTAACGTATGTATTAATGCATAAAAATTGGATTTAGTCTCGATTGAAAGAGTTGCCCTCGTAGTTGTAAATGAGTATATTTTGTGCTTGATTGACAACTTCTTCAACAAAGATAACAATTTAGACTTAGGATATTCTTTGTATTGACTAAGCTCTGAAGTGATAATATTCTGAGTTAGCTTGATTGAGCACAACTTCAAAAATGACTTTTGCAATGAAGTTAAGTCTGACTCATGATACTTCAATGCAAATTTAGTTATTTCTCCATTGTTCATCAACGAGGATTCCCATATAATGAAGGTTGATTTGATGCTGTTTAATAATTTAATGAAGTAAGCCTCATTGTGGGAAATGTCTAGTTTAAGTGGCAGGATATATTCAAAGTAAAACTTCCATATAATTCTCTCGTAAAATGGAGTTAATTCACCAAGCCGTATCATGGGCAAATAAACTTGCATGAAATTTTCTTTTAAATTCTTTATTATGAGTAACGGTTTCTTCAAGTCATAGTATTTCTTCAATAGGACCACCTTGATTTGAATGAAATTGATTTCTTGCCAGTTTTTGAAGTCTTTTGGGTTCATGTTGTTGATGTCAAACGGCAATTTATTTAAATTGACAAAATGCTTATTTAATAACACATCTGTCATTAGTCTTGAACTTAATTCGTTCTGCGAGTAGAATAACTTAACCAATTCTATTAAACTTCTTTCATTATCAATACTGTTTACATATTTCCGTAAGTCCTTGTATGAACTAGTCAAAAGGTGATAATTTGATTTGGCTAAAGAGTCACTTGTTTGTGATGCTATATTGAGGCCAGCCAATAATTGATCTAGATGTCTTTTCGTATCTGAATTGGGAAGTGTATAATTCAAATATGGTTCTATTTTTTCATCAGTCAGCGAATCCTTTGCAATCAAATTTGTGAATAACGATGGTCTATAGTTGATAGTATTCCTTACTTCTGTCCTGGGGCTCAAAAGGTTCAAAGCATCTGCTAATAGAACATTTTCACTATCACTATCATCCTTATTAGAAATAGAACGAACAAAGCTAATATGCGAGGTTTTGATATTATTTCTTGGAACCCGTAAGAACAGTAGAATTACACTAGTATTAACTGGTTGTCTCTGTACCATCCTTAATACAATAAGTTCTATACTGTGTTCAAAAGGTAAACGTTAGTACGGATAAAGTAGTATTTGAGACTGATGATGATGTACTAAAAACTTACACAAAATTGGAATATGCTTAACGATAACGATAGTATTAACTATATATGTATTTATACAACTAAGTAGAAAAGTATGACCTTATTTGTGTCTTATCATTTCTTATTAGATGTGATAATAGGCTTCCAAATTTCAGTTGTCTTATCGTAATTTTCAGGTAGCATTAAATAATTAAATATCATCCTATAATTATGCTTTAAGGAAACTAGTTCACCTAGTACGAAAAACTGAATCAATGACTCCTTGAAATTCTTCGATTTCTTGAACAATTTAACGAAGTTCTTGAAGATCTCACTGTAAGTCAAGGACTTGTTAGATAATAATAAGTAGTCCGTCTTATTTGAAACTGTCAAATGGTTGAAGGTTATACCACCTTGTAATCTATTGGAATTCTTCAACTTCAACAAAATGACAAATAATGGGAGATAGTTTATAATAATTAATAAGTTTTCAATGGAGTTTACAACAATGATACATGCCAATCTTGATAAGAAGAACATTAAGTAAAATGCAAATACTGTAGGCAATAATAAAACTAAGATCATGAACAATAAAGTCCCCAATAGTAATTGATCTATGTCAAAAAACTGACCCTCGTAAGTATAATTATTCAAGTTATCGATACGGTTACGTAAAACGTTATATTTCTTTCCGCAAAATAATTGGAACAATGATTTAATTATCTGTATCTGCTTCTGATATATCTTGGTGGACGTAAAATAGAAGCAATAAAGATGGAATGTGATAATCTGGAAATAGTCAATAATGCATCCGATGAAGAAGGTGAATCCAAGATGGCATAATATTCCTACATAAATCTTGAGCATCTGAGACAAGATCTTGTGAAATGCTGATATATTGTTCCACGAGCCAACAAAACCAAGCATATAACTGAAATTTAATTCAATAGGACGGAATACAACGTTATCTGAGTCTATCATTAAAATATCCGCAACTAAAAATTTCCAAAACTTCAATGTCCATAAGAACAAGTCACCCATAAACTGACCTAGTTCAGTATTTAACTTGAACCCTGCAGGATGATTAACCGATACCCATAATATTAAGTCATAAAAGTCATTAAATAATAGTTTTTTGATTATAGTTTCATTAATGAACATTATAATACTATCAAAGTTTGAAATTATTATCTTCCAAGTGCTAATTCCTAGTAACACGTCGTTGAATATCAACCATATTGAATTGTAAAGATTTATGTAGTTCGAGTTGTTTATATTTAAGTTAGAATTAAAGACTGGAATCTTTAATTTATGAAGGACTTCTGAATCTCCATATAGGATGTTTTTATCATAATAGCATAGGAATTGAATAGGAAAGAAGTTTATTTGCTGCAATCTAAGATCTAGTTGTCTGAATACATGCGAGCAATCAATTAATTTAATATTCCTAAATTCATAGTTTAGTATCCAAATTATCCAGATGGTCAACATTTGGATAGTAGAGACAATGCTTATTAGTATTTGAAAGATCATCCTGCTGATGGTTTCAACTTTTTCATTACACCTTATACGCTGTAAAAATGACGGGCTTATATTTGTAGACATTGATCTTTTGATCCAGGCTTGAATAGCATTCTTGTATCGTGAAGATTGATTAATCTTATCTAGAACTTCATCATCGGAAATTGACAACAGCTTGCTTTCACGCGTAATTGGATCAAATTCTGTGAGTTTTTTTTGATATATTTCATCGTTTGGGTTAACTTCAACATTTCCTGTCGACTGAAGAAGAATTGGGTTGATTGAAAAATATTCTAAGTTTCTGAAGTTAGGAGGCTGGAAAAGAATAAACGAATATCGCTCATTATTATTTGATTTCACAATCGGGTATTCGTCTGCAATATCATACAGCAATTGTAATCCATTCTTCTCTTCCAGTGTTTCATTAACACAGCCAATAATTTGTAAATCCTTCAATAGTTCATTCTGCTTAGTGAAATCATAAAGTTTTGCACTTATATCCATGGGTACCAAATGTATAACAATGTGAATATTTTTAATATGATATCCTAGTATATAGAACCTCTTTCCTCTATTCCTCCTTGTTCTTAATGTACTTAACAAATCATTAGGAAAATATATGTGATGATTCATTGTGAAAAACTATCTCTTCTCAAATACTGGGAGCTGTTGTTGAGATTATTGTAAAATGAGTGCTGGTCCAAAAACGTTAATGTATCTAATTCTTCACTATCGTAATTCTCACCTTCTGTCTCACCTGTTTCTGTTGTGATCCTAATAGCGATATCTTCGTCGCTTTCTATGGCACTTGTATCAAATTCGCTAGGACTTTCGTCACTTCCACGTATGTTGGATGCACTTTTTGATGCTGATTCTGATTCTGAATTATTCTCTTCAGGGGATGTCAACAGGTACTTATTAACAAAAAGAAGATTAACAAACCCAATCCCAAATACGAATAATAATGAAAGTAATGCTAATGAGAAGATAAACCTCTGTGCTATGTCTATTTCAATATTACTTGATCTCTTCCCAACAGACTCCGAATTGGTAAATGCAAACGATGTTCGAGATAGCAATAGAATAGAACCAATTACTGTATCAATGTTCATAAGAAACTACTGATATCATGTAGACTAAATGTAGTAAATGATAAGCTACAGATCTACGATCTATGAAATTTTACCAGCCTTGCGCTCAAATGACACAAACGTACTACTGAATCAATACTATTACATATATATATATCAAATAGAGCCTACGACAGAACTGAAAATGTAAGAAAAGCTAGATCACTGTGGAATACTTCTTTGAATTTGAACAAAGCTCTTCTTTCTATGACTATCGGCAATGCTTGGCTTGCGATTGAGCGGATCATCATTCGAATCACTATTTTCAAGCAGACCTTGTAATGCCAATCGTTCGTTAAGATTGGTGCTGGATGAAGCAATAGATGATGATCTTCTTGTTAATGAAGGTGTTGTATTTCTATCCAAGTTTAACAACTTTTTAACAACAAAAATTGAAATTGAGCACAACAACATAAGTAAACTGCAAACTAAGAAAACAGCACCGGGAGCATTCCACCGGGCTAACGAAGTCTTATATATTGAAAGAAACGTCACTGGGCCAGCCAATGTAAAAATGTTCTTCAATAGAGATGTGGCACCGAAAAGTTCTCCAATTTTAGATTCCGGATAGAACTTTATGATAGCAGAATTCAAAGAAGGGCTTGCTAATGCACCGAAACTCATAAGTGTCATTCCAATCAAAAACCAAGTAGTTGAGGGGGCTAAACTTAAGACGACTAATCCTATGGATTCAAAGACAAAACCAAGAACACAAACACTAAAGTCGACCATATCAAATTGATTTTTCAACACCTTGAACCGCAAGCCCTTCTGTAATAGCTTATGGGTAATAACAGGCGACAAAATTATTAGAATCACTGCCCTTGAAGAGCACGCGATGGCTAACGAGTGACCTATCTCAATTGATCTCCAATTAAATTTATATATTCCAAATAAGACATAGATCTCCATCAAGGAAATTCCAATAGCCGTAAGCATACAATCAACAGTAACCAAAATTACAATGACAATTCGCATACGCCTCAATTTGGCAGGGTCCAGTGTTGGAGCCACTTCATTTGGTAACAAGAGAAGCTTCAAAGGCTTCAAGAAGTTTATGGCACTAACGACACGAGTCAAAATTGAAGGCTGATCGAGTTCTATATCCAGCGGTCTAACATCAACTGACAGCGATGAGCGAGATAACGATCCTGCTCTTGATTTGGATCTTGCCTTTTCTGACCTAGACTCTGGCATAACAAACACGATAAACATTAATACTAAGAAAACCGCAACGATTTCAAATTTTAATGGGAGATATTCCCGTTCAGAAATGTCCATATACATGTTTATGTCCAGTATTGTTTCTTTATTTGTATGAACCAGTTCTGGTAATGACAATAATGCATTACCCAAAATAGGACCAATAGACAATCCGACAAAAAGACAGGCTATTCCCAACCCCAAGGAATAAATTCGTTGATGGGGTTCAACCACATCAGCAATATAGCAATTGGTCAAACTAATTAATGATATCGACCCACCCGTCAAGTTTCCGGCGATTTCTGTAGCCACCATGAGTCCAAAACGAAGGTACTCATGACTATACATTACATAGAACTTGAAAATCCTTGCAATAAGAAATACCGCTAAAATCAGAATCAAGAAAGGTTTTCTTCCATACTGGTCAGATAACTTTCCTATCTTACCCTGGACAAACATCGTCACGACCGCCACCAGTATGCTGTATGTCAAGTATAAATTCGACACTAACAATTGGGTGCCAATCGGGTCACACTTACCCTCTTTGGACATACCAGAAAGGTAGTTACAAGCCAACTTGAACGTAATCATTCTTCTGGTTGAATCACCACTGGAAAAAGCAAGGGCAAAGAAGAAAAGGGGAACCCCAATCATTAGCACGGAAGGTCTTTTTAGCCAGTGGGTGGTTTTATTTAAATCTCTCTGTTCACGGAGCCACACTGCATCTTCATCAAGCTCGTAGTCATCATCGTCATCCACAAGCGCTTCATATACATCATTTACGGCATGTTCTAAATTTGCAATGTCATTGGGGTTCATAGGTTTGGTGCCTTTGGAGAGCAATGGCAGATCCTCAACAGGCCTATCCATTCTGCTCATACCTCTATTTTAAACTAGCAAGAAGCAAATGTCGTCAGCGAAAAGCGATAGTTATTTAAGCTAATTTGAGTTTCTATATCTGTTGATACGGCGTTATCAATGAAAATAGCAAATAAATCATAGGATTAGTAACTATCGGAGATAATTTTGATGCCTCGCGATTGCGAAAATTTCCATTCAATTTCAGGCGAAATCGGATCGGATCAACAAAGAGAAGGTGATAGGATGCTCCTGATAACACAATGGAGTGAATGGAACAGGAACAGTACATGGGCTATGAGAGGTATCTAATTGATGAGTTGGCTGGTGGAAAATAGAGCTTTAGGTATGTTGTGATGCATTCGGCCGAAAGGTCTTTGAGTATACCGAGTAGTGTTGAGATGATTAGAGAGTCTAGATGTTTACAGGCTAGGTGTTTATAAGTTAAATATTATAGGCTGGATGTTTCCAGTTGTTTATAGTCTAGAAAGTTTACTAGATTACAGGGAAAAGTAGAAACCAATGCAGTCCATTCGGTTTGCTGCTCTACCAGTTGCCTGTTCCTGCCAGTTCACCCGTTCTAATGGCTACACATTTTCAAGACTATTTCACCCATGATACGGACACTGGTATTGATTCAAAATCTAGCAGAAATAGAGGGAACAAGCCTTATGAAAATAACGGAATGATTGGTATACCAGCAGTTCGTTTCGCAGCCGCTCACCCCACCACTTTGTCTCCCACCTAATCCTCCCGTCACTCCCTACCGTATATACTGCAATCTTCTACACCTCAAAAATAAACCACAAATACATCTATGCTTCCTCCACTATATGTCCCCAACACCCCCACTTAATCCCCCATAAAATGCTTGCCACCACTCTGTGCTACCAAGCATAACCATCCACCTCTCCAGCGACTTAACCGCCATCTTTACCGCCATTTAGCCGCCCTCTATCCTGTCTCAAACCCGCCCTCTAACCGCTCACCTACCCAGCTCTCTACCCGCCAATCGCTATCCTAACCCTATTCATGCGTCTGTTGCAACCTGATACCCACCGCATACAACCGGTCACCGGTTCTTGGGCCCCTGCCCTACTCTATCACCCGCACTATTGTGACTGTTCAATTTTAATCCTTAGAAACCCATACACCCGCACTTAATATTCGGGCCGCGCACGCTCTCCTCCCCCAGGCTAATCCCTACCAAATCGTCGCAGCGATAAAGGCCCACTGTTAATAAGTGACACAAAAAAGAATTTGATGAAAATCCGCTTTGTTAGTGCAAACCGTACCGTGACAATTTTTCAACCTAGCGAATTTTTCATTAAAATTTTTCAAGTGGTACTAAATAAATAAATTTTGGGCAATTCTAAGAAGTTTCAATTATTGAATAATCATTAAAGATGTCATTACCAGGTTCATTTGACTTAACTCCAGAAGATGCTAAATTATTATTAGCTGCTAACGTTCACTTAGGTTCTAAGAACGTTCAAGTATGTATCGATGAAATGAGACAGTGGCAGGGGCCAGTGGATCGTACGGGAGTGAAAGAAAGTAAAATAGGCCGAAAATCAACGAGGGATGTAAGAGCAGTGGATGCATGATATATGAGAAGAATGAGGGAGATTGGTGTTGATTTGGTTGTGTGGCCATGAATTCGACTGCGTAGACATAGTACGAGAAAAGAGATAGAAATGGGCCATGGAGCCTCGAAAAGAGTTGATAGACCCGCCACGATACCACCGGAGCTGCCAGAGCTGCCATCGCATGAAAATTTGGACATTTACTAACATATTATAGGTTCACAACAAGCCATACGTCTACAAGACCAGACCAGACGGTGTTAACGTTATTAACGTCGGTAAGACCTGGGAAAAGATTGTTTTAGCTGCCAGAATCATTGCTGCTATTCCAAACGCCTCTGACGTTGCCGTCTGTTCCACCAGAACCTTCGGTCAAAGAGCCGTCTTGAAGTTTGCTGCTCACACCGGTGCCACCCCAATCGCTGGTAGATTCACCCCAGGTAACTTCACCAATTACATCACCCGTTCTTTCAAGGAACCAAGATTAGTTGTTGTCACTGACCCAAGAACCGATTTCCAAGCCATCAAGGAATCTTCTTACGTCAACATTCCAGTCATTGCTTTGACCGACATGGACTCTCCATCCGAATACGTTGATGTTGCTATTCCTTGTAACAACAAGGGTAAGCACTCCATTGGTTTGATCTGGTGGTTGATTGCTAGAGAAGTTTTAAGATTAAGAGGTATCATCCCAGACAGAACCACCGAATGGTCTGTCATGCCAGATTTATATTTCTACAGAGACCCTGAAGAAATTGAACAAAATGCTGCTGAAGATATTAAGACTGACGATGTCGAAGAAGCTCCAGCTGCCGATGCTGAAACCGAATGGACTGGTGAAACCGAAGAAGTTGACTGGGCTGAATCAGGTGCTACTCCTGCTGCTGAAGAAGCTGCCGCTTCCAACTGGTAAATTGATTAGCTTTTATCAAAAGATTGCTTATTTTTATATAATTATTACATAATTCTTTGCTATTTTTTGGGGGGAGTAATTAATTTTTCATATCTTTAACAAAAAAATAATTTCAAGAAAGATCGGTATTTTATACTTTGTTTTTTGTATATTTGTATCCTATAAATTAAATGACATCTAATTAACATCATGTAATATCATAATGGGTCTCTATAGCTTTGTTACAGACCCAATGCTGTCTTGGAAGCCCTTCTGGATCGCCATATACTTGTAGGTATTGGTCTTGGGGTTACCCGTCGAGTAGTTTTTTTTGCACTACACCTCATCTGAAAAATTACCGGACATAATTATAATCTTATTGATATTTCTTCTTCAATTTGTTTACCACGGATCTTGGACCTATAAAATCAAACTCCTAGTTATAGTCTCGCCGGTTTCTCTCGGGAAACCAGTTTGTTGCAGATCTATTCGTTTTGAATGGTTTCTTCGACGGACAGAGATTAATAATGTCCCCTTTATCAATACTCGGAGCCATTGGATGTTTTTTCTAATAGCTTTCGATCTATAGTATTGTGTTTTATTAGCGGTTTTTGTTTCATGGCTTGTTTGTTTTAATCTGGGGTTCCCATATAAAATTCCCGGTTTATCGTGTTTACTCTGTACCATAGAGTATTCGCTTCATGCCCGGGGGATATTTGTGACAATTTGTTGCTACGTAGTTGTCTTTAGTTATGTAGTTGTAGCCGTGCGGGACGATGTTAGAATAGCCAGATATGCTTCCCTGTGTTGCGTATGTATCAATTTTGACTTCGGTATTTCATAATTTGACCCGATGAGGATGTATCGGAAGTTGACGCGACTTTAAAACATACATCAACGATTTTATTACGAGCTTCTGAAGAATTAACGAAAGACACTCATTTGTTTATACGATGAAGTTTGGAAAGCTACAGGAGTTTATATACTCCCTAAGCACGCAAGATAAATACTCGGAATTTGATCCTAAAAAGTCTTTCAATAGAGTGAATACTCAGGAAACGGAGTTACTCTTCTCGCACCACAATCAATCTAACGCATCCTTAATTGGTGGACCAACTAACGATGTTGAATCTAACGTCAACAAAAACCAATTTGATGGTGTCCATGAAGTGAGGTTGGCATGGAGACACATTAAGAACTGGTTATTAAAATATTCTCCTGATTTGAATTCATCTTTGCAAAGTCCATGTACGGATGCGGATCTCACCGATTTCCAAAAGGATTTGAACATCAAGTTACCTAACTGTCTTATAGAATTCTTCAAGATAACGGACGGCCAGTCATATTTTAACGATAATGGGTCTGGTGGTTTGGTATTTGGGTTAAAATTAATGCCTATAGATGAAATAATGGTGATGACAGAACATTGGAGAAAAGTAGCTGACTACTTGAATCTGAAGTTGTTACACGCGAACCAGACCAACAAATTGCAAGAACTCAGTAAGTTAGAAACAAGCCATGCAAACAGCAGTCAACTCAAGTTCTCATCATCTAATCTTGATCTCATGGAACCAGTCAAAATTGCCAAACAACAAAGACAAGAAACTGCTGATTCTCCTAGTATTCCTCGCCAAAAATCTATACCACCCGGAACAATACATGATTCTTTTGCACATCCTATGTGGATTCCGATTATTACTGATGAAGTAGGAAATTGTATCGGTATAGATTTATGTCCTCCAACCAACGGTGGAGGAATATGGGGTCAAGTGATTCTTTTTGGTAGAGAATTCGACAATAAATACTTGATCGCTGATAACTTTGGGGATTTCTTATTAATATTTGCTAACGATCTCGAAATGGGTAATTGGGACTTCAGATCGAACCAAACTAATAATAACGAAGATTTATTAATTGGTAGCGAAGGTGAATTAGTCTTTGTTGAAAAGTCAACAAACAAAGAAATTCCGTACCTTGAAGTATTAAAGAAAAGATGCATTGAAAAATGGCTTTCTTCATTGAACGAACAGCATTCTGAAAAATCCGAAGAAATAAAGCAATTGATCAAGGACTTGAACCTGAATTCTTCCAGTATATTAAAGTTCAAAAACTCGATGGATCAATTTGTCAACAACAACTTATCAAACATAGAGGGTATCAATGATCCAATTACTCATTCAGAGGCCAAAGTAGCAGGCGGGTCAAATAAGACGAAGAATCAAGAAAAAGTGGGGGACACGAAGGGTATCAAACAAGATGATAGCTCGAAACTTTCCCTGGCAATGTCGACTTCTGATGAAGATGAATAATTGTGTTGATTACAGTTATTTGTATCTAATTATATACGTCTACCATATAATTCTTTGGATTTTTCCCGGTTCACTTAACCACGTAAATTCATACCCCAAGAAAATAACCATTATGGTCACATCAACAAATATTAACCAAGCAAATTCTAAAATATGTCTTGACATGCTAATACCAATGAGTTTTTCTTTGGATGGTCTAACATATAATCGATAAATTATTAATGGAACAATATAATAACGAGGTTCGAAAAGTGGTGATGGAATAATAGTGATAAAAATGCCCCCGATGAATGTAATGATGGTAATTGGAGTCAATCCACTAGTGTTAAGTGACAAAGAGTCAATAATATTCCAAGTGCAAAAATGATAGATTGGAATCATAAAAATATTACTATATTCTTGATTGAGAATTCTTTTCCAAATGTAAAATGTATAGTGTCTGTTATCGGCTAGTAAAAATGGATGAACAACTGTATAATTATCAATAATAAATTTAATAAATATCCATGAACCTATCGTGAATACGGTATTTAAACCATGATTACCTAGTATTGTAAACCAAATGTATCTCTTTATCAAACGAATGGACAACCACACGGGCCATGTAAACATTGCTATAAATGTGAGGCAATAGAATACTTGAACGATATGCAAGTTAAGCTTGTGATTTTCTTTATCTCCAAATGTTATTCCTTCGTTATATTTAACAAATATCGCAAATAAGAGTATGTTGATTATAAATGGAAGAATGGCAATCCAATCTAAAACAGCCTGACGAATGAAGTTGACAGTATTTTGTAAAAATCCCATGTCCTTATGATGCTCTCTTCTTCTCTTGTCAATTAGCAAGGATGCAATGAACGCAATCCAAATAATATTCGTTTGACGAAACCATAAACTGGCAAATGCAACTATTCCACTAAAATACGAGCTTGTAATGAACCCAAATGGCTGTCTTACCACCAATGCTAATGATGCCACTATCAAAATACTTGCCCAAATATCTGTGTAGAACAAAAAATAGTATGTGAACAATAACGGCATCGCTACAATATTGACGGCCCAGAATTGTGGTTTTTCTCTATCACATAAACCCTGAACAATAAATGGAAGCACAACAAGCCCACCAAACAAATTGACTGATCTTAATACATTTATGTTTTCACATACCGATACCAATGACTCAGAAGTGAAGGTTATCATTCTTACAACCTCTGCGTATACCATTCCCAATACATATAATCCTGGAGGTGTAGTAATTTTGTGATCCCATATATCGAATCTAAACGAACAGTACGTTTGGCATTGTCTAAGGTGAAAAATTTCATCAATAAACGGATCTTTTACTTTCAATGCAACCAAGCGGAAGACGATCCCACAAAATATCACGAATATGGATGCTAATACCACCTGTGCATTCCACATTATATACTTTTGATAACTGCTTTATCTCAGTTTCGTTGAATAAATTTTGATTTGATCGCGTATAAAGCAGCTCAACTGTAACCAATTTCATCAAAACAACCAAAATCGACGTACATCAATAAATTACTAACACAGTACTCCCTTTCCAATGTTTCATCTATCTCATGTACTGCAACCAATATCTTCTTCAATAAAAAAAAATATTCCTTATCTATAGTCACAAAAGTCCATCTTTAAAAGTTGTCGCCCACAAATAAAATAGTTGCAAAAGAGCATATAATCTTTTTTTCTAAACTATAGTATATTGCTTGGTTCTAATAAAACCAATTTATATATAACGGTATACATACTGAACGGTGTTGTATTAGTAGCATTCTAAGGCAAATTATTTAAAAACCAATTTGCTAGTTTTCGACATAATTACAAAAATACTACAAAATTATCAATATGTCATATGGAGGGAGTAGAAGAAATCAACATACTAATAGTTCACCTAATCATGCATTTGAAACAAATACCAGGTTTTTTCCAGTTGTTTCTTCTCAAGTAGCTTATAGAAATAATGAAATTAATTCTAACACTCCTCCACTCCCAAGGACTCCAACAAACAGGCCCAGTACACCTTCTAATAGCCCCGGAAGACCACAGCTTACTTTAAACGAAGGAATGTTTTACGTGAGACCAGAGAGTGTTTCCCATTCATTGAATTTAGAGGATCAAGACGCTGAATTATCAAATACAGATTCCAATAAAACACCCAACTCATCACCAGTGAGCCCTCACCAGGAAATTATTGCGAGTGCATTAGGATTTAGCAGCCATTCAAGGGTTTACCAATTATCTGCATCTAGTAGTCCCCACGGAGCCCATAATTCAAGTATTGACCTCGTAGGGTCTCTAGTGAATTCAACATCATCCAAAGATATTAGAAAATATTTGGCATCACGTCCAAGTACAGCACCAACGGGTCATCGTAAAAAGACCATTAGATTGACAAAGCCGGACCATAATCTCGAGGCACCCGGTTTGAAGGATGATTTCTACTGCAATGTGGTTAGTTGGTCAAAAATGACGAACAGGATTGCCGTGGGGCTAAATAAGTCAGTTTATTCTTGGAGCACAAATAATGATGTTGTTCTCATGCACCATGATAACTTTATCACCGTCACGGCCGTCTCATATTCTGACCACGATTATATTCTTATTGGGAAGGATAATGGGGAGGTGTTAATGTTATCTCAACGGGAGAATGCTATCAAGGCCACTCTCTCCAATCACGGCAAAAGCATCTTTTGCTTCCAGTGGTTTCCTGATTCACGCCAGTTTTTGGCAGGTGATTCTAAAGGAGATGTATTGTACGTTAAAATTACAGAAGACAGTTTAGGTAACGTCAGTTTAAGGATACAGTGTATATTGGAATGTCATCAACAGCAGATCTGCGGTAAATATTACTTTTAACTATCAGCACCAGCTTTGAAGCAATACTAACATCTCCATAGGTCTTGCACTAAGCAACGATTCTCAACTTCTAGCTGTAGGAGGAAATGACAATTGCTGTTCGATATGGGACGTCTCTGATGTTTCAGCACCAAAAATCAAACTGGTGCTTCCCCATAAAGCAGCTGTCAAGGCTATAGCCTTCTGTCCTTGGGCTAATTCAATTCTAGCTACTGGGGGAGGGAGCAACGATCGTACTATTAGATTCTGGCATGCCAATACCGGTACTTTACTAAATACATTTGCTGCAAAAGCCCAGGTTACATCATTATTCTGGTGTAAGGACAGAAAAGAGTTAATATCAACTTTTGGGTACGGTAACTCAGAAAAACCCTTGTTGCTTTCCGTCTTCTCTTATCCAGAAATGATTCCCTTGGTCGAAGTCTCCAGTACTACATACCTCCGATGCTTAAGTGCGTGTCAATCTCCTGATAAGGGTTCCATTTGTGTTGCCGCAAATGACTCGTTCGTAAGAATCTATAAAATCTGGCAATCCTCTGAAGGACCACCTTTATCACCCGGGTCAAGAAGTGTCGGGATATATGGTAGCTCCTTAATTGAGATGTATGAAGGTATCACAAGGGGTGATATTCTTCGGTAACCCGATCAGGTAGGTGGATTCAATTTTTCGTATAACGTAAGGGCTCGTTTTATGTTGTTCCGGCAGTGCTCTTGAAATTATTTATGTTTAGTATGACTTCTTCTTCTTGTATATCTTATCATTAAATAGCTATTCTTAGAAATTTAGCATGTCAGCTCCATTAATAAACCGTTCGTTGACTACAATAAGAACCGAATTGGAATTTTTGCATGATTCGGAGGTGATTACTGAACAACTCTATAATGCCCTCATCGGATCGCTCCCACCTAAATACCAAAAGGATATGAAAGCATGGGATGTGGAAAAATTAAAGACTGAAGACAGCAACAATAAGGACTCCAAAGCACCTACAGGGACGGATTCAATTACAGATGGCTTAGCTAGCACCAGTATAAATCCTCCTGTTAAGCCTGAGCGCTTACAAACGACCAAAGCATTGGGATATTGTAAAGCAATTTACGATTATCAAGCACAAGAAGGGGAAGATTTGGAATTGAAAAAAGGAGATAGTATTGCCGTTCTTGAGCATTTGTCAGAAGACTGGTGGAAAGGTTACAAGAAGGGAACATCAGCAAAAGAAGCTGGAGTGTTCCCATCAAATTACGTTAGTGTTATTTCTGAACAGGAATTCGATTTTGCATCCTCTCCATCCCAACGTATTGCCCCTTCTCCATTTAAGAATGAAAAAGCATCGTATAATCCAAATGCCGAGTCTGGAGCCCCACCTCCACCTCAATACGATCAAGCACCGGTAGCCCCGTTGACTCAACAACCATCATACGGTGGTTATGCCCAATATCCTCCACAGCCAACTAATTATTATCCTCCCCAACAATACTCACCTCAACCACAAACTTATCAACCTCAAGGACAACCAGTTCAGGTGGCTAACCCTAGTGAAGGCCAGGGACAACATAACCACTTAAGAAAGTTTGGGGGCAAGTTGGGTAATGCTGCTATATTTGGTGCTGGTGCCACAATTGGTAGTGATATAGTTAATTCGATCTTTTAAATAGAGAGTTCAGATATATATGTATATGATAATACTATGTTTTCACGTTTCCAAAAATGCGTTAATTAAAATTATACCTATGTACAAACTAGCTTAAAGATGTAAACTCATTCAGATGGGTAACTCATTTACGACCATCAACAACAGTGTTCAATAATAAGGTGTCGTTATCCAACAAAATTCTGTTTGGAGAGTTAGCCAAAATAGCAGCGATTTCTCTGGCAGTATCTAATCTCTTCAATTCCACATAGTCTCTAGACTTCTTGATGGCTTCACCAACCAATTGAGCAGATTTAGCTTCACCAGAAGCCTTAACAACCAATTGTTGCTTCTCTTGAATAGCCTTATCAACGATGAATGCAGCCCTTTGAGCATCTTGTTGAGCAATTTGCTTGGCTTCAACAGCAGCACTAAATTCAGGCGAGAACGTCATGAATGTCAACGAAACATCATCTAAGTTGATGTTGAACTTGGCAGCACGACGGACCAAGTTTTCCTTGACTAAACGGGATACTCTTTCTCTCTGGGTGATCAATTGAGATGCGTTGAATTGAGCCACAACCGATTTCAATACTTCGTTCACAATCGATGGCAACACTTTTTCATCATAATCAGTACCTAAAGTTCTGTAAATGGTTGGTAATTGGAATATGTCTGGCTTGAACAACACACGGCAAGTAATGTTCACCATTTGTAAATCTTTCGTACCAGTTAACGAAGCTACATTTCTTGGTTTAGCACGAACGTCATACACAATTGGTCTCTGAAACCATGGCATGACAAAATGTGTACCTTCTGGATAAATCTTTGGCTGAACACCATTAATACGCGAGTATACTATGGCTCTTTGACCACCATCAACATTAAACAACGAATTCTGTGCCAAAATCGAAACACCCCCTAACAATAAGATTCCCCCAATACCAGCAAATGCGGCGAATGGAGACTTACGATTTGGTCCTCCAGCTCCACCACCTTGTGCTGCCCTACGTCTTAATTCGTTTGACAAGTTCTTCCAGTTTTGTTGACTCATTCTTCTTATGTAATTGGTTAACAGTTGATATGTTAATACAAATCTCCATAATGAAATTTATCACAATACTTTGCCTTTGATAATGTCGCAGAAATTTGTAGGACATTGCGACATTCACCATCTATGAATGTCTCTCTATTAATGCAAAACTATACCCTATTAAACCTATATAATCATGATGGAACCCCTTCGTAGTCGTACTTCTGAACGTACTCGTTAATGGCCTTCTTCCAATGTCTTTTTCTATTTGTTTGTATCGGATTTGTTCGGAATAGTTTCTCGCAAAATATGAGGGCCAATATAGCAACTGCTACAATAAAACTAGGTGCAATCAACCCAACTAGCTTCAGCTTTGTTACAGTCTCTTGATAAGGACAAGTAGCGTATGGTCCACCCGTCACAAAACAATCAGGGACTGTAATATCGTTCACATCAATCCATATTGGGTATGAAATATTTTTACGTTCAATGTAGTTCATCAACGCTACCATTTCGATACTCAGCAGCGGAGTACCAAAATAATAGTCATCAGGACAGCTATCGGGCCTGTAGGCTGTAAAATATGCCTGTTTGTTTTTCACATCAATATGCCAGTTGTTGGGGGAGCCAGATTTCTGGCATGCAACTGGTTGCTTGCTGTAGCAGTCTGACACTTTCCATCCATTTTCGTCCAATACAACGCACTTGTAGGCAGCATGGGAGTCCTCATATTCCACGTCCCGTTTAACCGGGTCAACATCATAGGCATTGTCATTATCTTCATCGTTGCTGTCGGTAGTATCACTCATATTCAACCCTCTGTCTGGTTCAATAAGTTGGTCCTCTGCCCAAGACCAGAATGATAGAGGAATGAAATTGTCAATTATGTCACCGAGTGAACCGCTGGTTTCATTGGTATCTTCTTCGTCGTCATAGACATTGTAATATGAGGCATTTAATATTGGAGAGAACCCACACCGTACAAATTCGCTAAATGTAACGTTGGTAAATGATGTGCTATTATTATCTACCACAATCCGGAAATGTTCTTTTAGGGACACATTATTGTAAAGTTGGATACTGTTCTGGTCGTTGTAAATGAGTTCATTACACTTCAAAACATCATCTGGGTCAGATAGCGATGCTATCGTAGCGTCTAGGCTGCTGCCTTCAATAAAAAGCTTTTTTTTGTCGCTACTGGTAACATTATAATTATAACGGGACTTAACAAGGTCATTTGCAATCACCGAAGTCACGACTCTTTTGTAGTCCAACAATAAGAATGTGTTTAAATTTGGAAATGATCGTCTGGTTTCGTTGTAAAAGCCGCCATTGTCTCGCTTTTGATAAGCAGAGCTTCTATAGGATGACAAATCTGAAGGTGTAAATAAAGACGATCCAAATGAACTTACAGCTTTATTCAATGTGTCATTATTCAAGCGAACAAAAGACAGATCGGTGGGTTGGAAACTTGATATATAGTCTTTGGTCTCAGTGCTAGTCATGTTTTCTTTTGGTGGATCTATACGTATCGACTTCAAATGAAACAACAATTGGAGCATATTTACCTTGATATTGGTATTCGTTTCACCAAGATACGTATTGATTACTCGGACCAACAGGTCGACTGTCAAAGATGCCTCACATTCGTACGTTTTATCATCCCAATGTAACTCCTTGGTCGATGTGATGTCATCGGTTATGTTGGCAGGAAATGGAGCAGGACAAAGTTGCCATCTTTGAGTAAACTCATTCCAGTATAGATTAACCATCAACGTCTGCACACCGACATCCAACAATGTACTAACTTCATTAAGAGCATCCAAAGTGTATCCTTCTTTATCAAAAACAAGAGTATTAAGCGACACCCCCATCCCTGTAACCTGGTCTATCAGTATATATTTGGCAACATCTCTCTGAGACCTTTGAGCTATTTCAATTTGCGGTGAAATATCTGGCCAATTATTAACGCTAACACATGCTACGTTTGATACATTTAGCACCAATATTAAAAATACCGTAATGTAGGTATATAGTATCATATTCTTATAGGCATATCCTTGTATTGAAAGTTGAATAACCAGCTATAATAAGGAAACTAATTTATGTATTTTTTTTTATCGCGATTCAAACAGTGTTATTGTTTCTATCATGTTTATATTTATTTATCTTTTTTGATATTGGAATGGTATGACTCAAATTCAACAAGATGACGAGTCATTGCTAAGAAAAATCTTGGATGGGTTGAATACTAAACAAAGACAGGCGGTAGTTTCACCGTCTGAAGAAAGGTTGCAAATCATCGCAGGTCCTGGTACAGGTAAAACTAAAGTATTGATATCAAGAGTTGCATATCTATTGATTAAAGAAAAGTTATCACCGCAATGTATAATTGTTACTACATTCACCAAGAAAGCGGCTAATGAGATGATCGAAAGGTTGGGCGAGCTACTTAAGGATACGCCAATCAAAGTGGATAAAATATTAATTGGGACATTTCACAGCATTTGCTACCGAATAATTAAGATATATGGTAAGAAAATAGGAATTAGTGATTATAATATTGCAGATGAACGAGATTCGAAGCAGATACTAGAAGAGATGATCATGAAATTATCTGGAATGGAATTGAAATATATTTCAGAGTTGCCAGATAGACAGACTGATGTGTTCAAATCGAATAAAGAGGATGATAAATACCATGGATGGGATCCAAAGAAGATCAAAAGACAAATTTCTAAGTTGAAATCCTCGGGAATTCAGCCTGATGCTTACGAAAATCGCATCGACTGCAACCAATTCCTAGGCTTACTATACACGAAGTACCAAAAACACTTACAAGCGAATTCAATGTTAGACTTTGATGATTGCTTGATTTGCTGCCATCAATTAATAACTACATATCCAGTGCTTAACTTTGTGGAGCATGTTTTGGTTGATGAATTTCAAGATACAAATGAGATTCAATTACAATTAATGTATGAATTTGCCAAAGGGCACCCCACGAACCCTAGATTGCAAAATAATGTTACAATTGTTGGGGACCCAGACCAGAGTATCTATGCATTTAGAGATGCACAAGCAATAAACTTCAAGAAAATGAAGGAACATTATAGAAAGATATATAAAGAAAACCCCATTAATATCATCACTTTGGAAGAAAATTATAGATCCACCTCAGATATTTTAAACCTTTCAGAGAGAATTATGAGGCAGCAAGATGATCGCCTCTCCAAAATGCTTAAATCACAAATGGTTTCATCTTTCCGACCAGTTTATTCCAATTTAAAATCTCCTGAACAAGAGGCCCGTTGGATTTCATACCAAATTGAACATTTAATGGCTTTGCCTAATTCAATTTTTAAATATAAAGATATTTCTGTGCTAGTAAGATCCGCATATCAAACAAGAACTATTGAAAATGAATTCGTTAGGAAAAGAATACCGTATTTGATGGTTAGAGGAACAGCCTTCTGGAATAGAAAGGAAGTAGTAGCTATACTAGACTATTTACGTGTTATTTCTTGTGACAATGATCGTATTGCATATTTACGTACAATTAACTTCCCGAAGAGAGGAATGGGAGAAAAGACTTTAGCGTCCATAGATGCAGAATTAGAGCTAGAAGCAATAAAACCAAATATTTATAGAAAACGAGTCTATTATGTGCTACAGGATATCGCGGATGGAAAGACTTCTGTCAAATTGACGTCAAAGAATCAGAACAGTCTTACTAAATATTTGGACTTTATTGCAAATATGCGCAGCATTCTTGAAGATATCAATAAAATCAACGACAATTATCAAAGCGATTCAGAATCAATAATTGAAGAGAGGAATAAATTACTCAGCAAGCTTTTTGAACTTGTTTATGTGAAATCAGGTCTTCAGAAAGAGTTTCAGAATGATCCAAACCACGAACTAAATATTATGGAAGTCCAGACACAACTCTGTGAATTTAAACCCAAAGACGAAGAATTACCATTATATCTAGGAGGCTCAGAATCTGAAATTGCAGAGGATAAACGTAATTTTTTGGAAAAATTCATTCAATCAATTGGTTTATACGAAACTGATTCTGCAAATGAAAAAGAAAAAGAGAAAGAAATTGCTCTGAAATTTCCTGGTAGGATAGATAAGGGTAAAGTTGCTTTATCCACGATTCATGGATCAAAAGGATTGGAGTGGCCGATAGTATTTGTTCCAGGATTGTCAGATGGTATACTACCAGCAAAGTTTGCAATGGATTCAGGAGGAGATGAAGCAGTCAATGAAGAAAGAAGGTGTTTTTATGTGGCAACTACTAGAACAAAATTACTTTTATATATGTCGTCCTATATTGAGCAAGGTGATATAGGTAAATGGGGAAGAAAACCTATTGATTCTGTTTCCCGGTTTATCAGCAATTTGCAGCATACTGGTATGATGGAAAGTAAGCAGGGGGTGTTCAAAGATTGGCAAATACTATCGAAATTATACAAGATAGTTAATAAGCCGATACCTACAGGAGAGCAGTTCAATTTGACTCAGTTCAACAAAGCTTATGAATTGAGATCAAAAGCTTATATAAATGGCGAATCTGAAATGAAAATAACTGAAGAATCCTTCAAAAATTGTGAAGAAGGGTCTCCGTGTTTGGACATCACAGGTTTCAGCAGTGCTAAAGTACAAATGAGTAACAAGAGGACTAACGAAATTACGCATCGTACTCCCCAAATGCCCAAACGTATAAAAGAGAGGAGTAATCAATCTAATATCAATTCATTCTTCAAATCACCAGCAAATTTACAGCAACCTCTGTCGCGAATGAATGCCAACAGTAGCTTATCTAAACCATACAGGGTGCCTATTATAGAAAAGACGGCTTCCAACAAGGCTCCCACTATATCAAAAATAGAGATCACGAAGCCGAAGTGCAACAAAGCACCTCCATATATACCAGTCAGGAAGGTACCCTCTTATATGCTTAACAGAAGAAAAAATGTAAATAACTAGGGCCGTTGCATTTTTACAATTGATGTACATTGACTATATCATAGTAAATAAATCCATATAATAACCAGTCTTATATCGATACCGTAAACTGTAGAAGCTGGTCTTACTAAATGATAACGACTTCTTGATGCCTACATCTATACACATGCATTACAGAAATACTACCAAGATAACTCATAAATGTACTATAGATCATTTACAAAAGATTTAGCTAATATCTTTGAGTCGTATACACATGAATTTTGCTGTATCTATAATGTCAAGCCTGTGATTGAAACAGTCATAATTCCAGTCATAATTCCTCGTAGAAAATTACTTGGTAATTTGGAAACTCCATGGGAATGATAAATGAACGTTTTTATCGTCATCAACAAACTTAGTAGTAGCAGAATAACTGCCTCTAGCCAACATACCCGATGGCGCTTCTACCTCACTGAATACCTTCTCATAGTATGGCTTTTCTTTGGTATTTGGTGCATATGACCCTAATGGTTCTTCCAACTTATCAACCCTGATACCAGTTTTTTTAATCAGATGTAAGTATTTCAAACCAGTAATAATCTCATGTTGCACACGGAACTTGATTACAAACTGATAAACTGATTTTTCCTTAATACTGAACTTGATTTCTTTACCTGCTATCGTGTTACCTTGTGCATCTTCTAAATTAATTACAATAGGTTGTAATTCTGGTTGGCCTGGGAATTGCAATGACATTTCAACAATGACAACTTTACGCTTATCGCCTGCTTTAACAGGATAAGCATCACTATTGTCGGTTAATCCAAGTGAAGCCTTCCATTTAGCTAAACTTTCATCTTCAGCATCTAACTTCGTGTATTCTTCGATTGTCTTTTTTTCTCCGACATGATATCCTTCAACGGATTCAGGAATCAACTCATCATCTTGAAGAGCTTCTGGGTTATTTGACGCCATCTCTACTATCTATTAATTTATATCGTGAAAAACTATAGTTATCAACAACTACTATGACACGTCTTCTAATTATATGATCTAAAAATTGTTTACACACGACAATTTATACAAAAGCCATCTGAAGCAAATTGACATCGTAAAGGATATATATATTGATATATATAAGTGTTGTTAAAGAAGCAGTCTTCGACTCATGCAAATGCTTTTGTCAATTATTCAAAAGCTAAGAAATTTAGTACTTTGTAGAGTTATTGGGTGCAATATTGGTAGTACTAGAAGATGAATTCGAGTTCGAGTTGGAATTGTAATTCGGATATCTTGGTTTGTAGGCTTTCTTAGGCTTCTTATCTTTGTTAGAATCAGGTATAATGATATATGGGTTGTTTAATAGTTTTCTTTCGGTCTCTTTGTCGTATGGAGTGTACTGACGGTTTCCGTTGTATGCGTTTGAGTAGAAGCCATTTTGAGGAGGCATCATAGGAGGAGCAGAGAAATAGTTGGGATATTGATTATACATATTCATTTGTGGTGGGTACATCGACTGATTGGGAGAGTTGTAGTAGCCATTTGGGTTCACAAAAGGAGGGACATTCATGTTTGTATTGTAGTTTATTGGCATACCCATGGGCACAGGAGGCACTCCTCCATTGTATTGATATGAATTAGAATCGAATCCGTTGTATGCATTATGCTTGTGTGTATTGTCTTGGCTCATAAATCCACCTTTAGAATCACTCGTCGAGCTATTGGTGGTGTCTTCGTCACTGTCATCATTTTCGTCATCATCTTCCTCAGCTTCTTCTTCCTGGTCATCATCATCATCCTGTTGGTCCTGAAAAATCTTTTCTCTTACTTTCAAATATAATGCTTCCTTTGATGCTCTCTCAAACTCAATGTTATCGCTTCCAGGGTTTAAACTGCCTGTCAGGACCGGAGTAGAAGTATTCGGAGTGTCTGAAAAATCTTTTTGGGCCTTCCCATTCAGCTCTCCTGTCGACAGAAAAATTGATGCCTGGGTTATCTCAGACAGCGTGTCAGCCAGTGGCATTGAATTTCTTGGTGATTCCTTCTTAATGATCATTTTTGGCTTGATTTTCTTAGCACTGACTTCGTCTCCTTCAGAGCCATTCCCTTTACAGCCATTCAGCTTCTGTTGAATATAGTCGCATATCTTTGTGAAGCTTTTATCTTCTTTCTGGTCTAATACTTCACTGAACTTCTCATAGTCGAACCCATCTGCACTCAATGTGACTATTATATCGTTTGACCCATTATTCCAATGCTGTAAATGATAATGCTGGCATACTTGATGGCTTAGTAACCTATAATATGAATTTTTTAGCACTTCGGACTGAATCGTATATACTGGGGATTCCTGCTTTAGCAGTATTGACTCTTTTATAAATGCAATTAAATCCTTCTCTAAATGCAAAACATATAACTTTTCCTGTGGTTTTGTAACAACTGTCGTAATGGGTTGTGGAATGTCGTTCATCTTCTCTTTTGCATCTAACATTCAGATAATAAAGTGTGGTTATATTTTGGTAGAAAAGTTTCAATCAATTTTGAAAAATCTGATCCCACCGCACTCTAAATCAAAAAAGATCGTTATGTATATATTGATAGATAAATTATAACTATTCAAATTCATTATTCAATTCGAATCTTATTCATCTTATTAATATCCAAATAGGTAATTAGTAATGAGTGATTCAAACGATGTATGTTGATTTATATCTTCAGTCGTATTTGATATTAATTATCTAATTACACATTACTAACATTATGTTTAGATAAGAGCTAAAAGATTGGCAAGATTGGCGGCATTAGGTGGCAGTAACTCAGGATCTTCTAACAAGGTTAACAGTAGCGCATCGAACTCACCATCTCAGCAACCGTCAACTCCAAAGGAAGAATCTAAACAAGTATTACAATCGCAAAGTTCGAATTTGCCATCTGGAGCCACGAACCCGAAACCACCACCACCACCAAAAGCACCAACTCCTAAATTAGCTCTGCCAGAGTCCAATGTTTCTCTTAGTCCTGCTGAACAAGTTGCAAAATGGTTATCAGGGGAAATCGAAGGTATTTTTCAAGCGACAATTAACAAATCCCACAACTCTACTGGATTAATATATTTAGGTAATTTGGCTTCTGAACTTGAATCAGAGAAAACTTTATTGAGTAAAGACAATCTAGAGTCTATTTTCATGGAAATATTGAATGAATTGGGTGTGCCTGCAGCTTATAAATCGCCCATGGAGTACTTATTTGAAGTTTACCAGAGAGCTTTTAGATTGAAGAGGATAATTTCAAAAAAGGATCCATTGCATGATATCAAGATTTCAATTGTCAATTCAATCATATCGCTTAGCTGTTCGTATGGTTTTATTTGCTTTCAAGTTCCGGATATGTACATTAACAATGATATAAGAATTGCTATTGATGCGTTGATCAACAACCCAGATATGGGTGGATTTTTAGTCGACATCATAAATGAAAGCATTGAACAGGAATCTCTTCTTGAGTTGTTAAATATAATTTTCCCAACTTTAAGTTCCAAACTTTATAAAGTGAACCTAAATGACAGTTCCTACTCAAAGTACTTGTCACTATTTGAATCGCTAGTCAGCATTAAGTCTGTGGCCGCAATATTTTCACAGGTTGACGGGTTTCAACCTCCTAATAGAAAGGAAGGTTTGGATTTTGAAAACAAGACTTTGTTTGGTTCTCTTTTAAGATTATCGCCCCTTTTAGATTCAGTTAGTAAATACTACTTTACAGAAAATGTTGGAACTTTATCAAAGGTTCAATTGAATTCGACTTATGAATCATTACAAAATGAATACAAGGTTGTTTCAGATAGATTGTTCTTTATTGTTGACAAGCTTATCCGTGGATCTTCACAAACTCGTCAAGATATAGTTACTTGGTTTGGAGATCTCGTTAATTTGAGTCATTTAAGAAGGGGGAGCCATGCTGATTTAAGTAAATTACCTTCTGATGGTATAATGTTTAATATTTCCCTTATATTGATCAAGTTGAGTTTGCCATTCTTGGAATACCCAACGTTTTCAAAACTTAATAAGATAGATGGAGATTACTTTGGTCGTAGCAGTCTCATAGATATTTCTGAAGAATCTAGAGTGAATTCATCCATACCAGAAGCTAATGATTATTATAATGGAATAGATAATTCGTCTCCTAATTTTATCTCTGACTGCTTCTTTTTGACGTTAACATATTTGCACTATGGTGTCGGTGGTATATACAATCACCATGATAGATTAAAGAACCAAATCAAGCAAATGACATCAAGAGTGGAAATGATTGAAAACAATCAAGTTCCACCAGGTACTAACCCCATGATGGCACATGTTTTGAGGAGCCAACTTCCTATGCTAACAAAAAGTTTGAACTCTATGAAAGCCACTAAACATTCAATCCAAGCTATTTTTAGCTTCCGTTCGATGCAGTTGGATATGTTTGATTTCATAATTGGTGCAACTACTTTTATAACCAAGCTTATTGATCCAAGTCATCAACATCCTAGTATCAAATTGAAGATTCCATTATTTAAGATTGATGCCGTTTCTCAGTTGGATGATCATGAATTCCTACAAACCAAAACCCCTGTCCCATGGAAATATTATCCAGAATTCATGTTAGAAGGAATTATTAACTACTGTAAGTTTATAACTAACTTTAGGGGATGTCCTTTGGTAGACAACCATGAGAAATTACTGTCGTTTGTTGAATTTTCGATTATTTTATTACGTTGCCCTGAGTTAATTGGTAATCCGCATATGAAAGCCCATTTAGTTGAGGTATTATTTATTGGATCTTTGCCAATGATGAATGGTGAGCCTGGATTCATTTCAAGCATTTTCAACTCTAATCAACTTGTGATAGATAACATATTGTACTCTTTGTTAGATTTTTATGTTATGGTTGAGAAAACTGGGGCGTCGTCTCAATTTTATGATAAGTTTAACAGTAGATACTATATTTCTGTTATATTGGAAGAATTATGGAAGAATGAAATTTACAGAGAACAGTTAGGTGATTATTCCAAAAACAACGTTGATTTCTTTATTAGATTTATTGCTAGAATGTTGAATGACACAACATATTTACTTGACGAAACGTTCAACGAATTAAACCTGATTCATAACTATCAGCGTGAGTTGGAGAAGCGTGCTAATGGACAACCTCCTAATACGGAGGAATTTGGAAATGATGAAGAGCTCACTAACAATTTAAATTCTTCTGAAAGAAAAGCCAAATCTTATGTTGGTTTATCCAATAAGACAATGGAGTTATTTAAATTATTCTCAAAGCAAACTCCACAGGGATTTGAGTTGCCAGAAATTGTGGACAGATTAGCTGGTATGTTGAATTATAATTTACAAATTATGGTTGGACCAAAATGTTCAAACTTAAAAGTACGTGATCCAACAAAATATGATTTTGATCCTAAGAGAACGTTGAGTGACTTGTGTGAAATTTACTGCAATTTGTCAAACCAAGGGAACTTTGTGGTTGCGGTTGCAAGAGATACAAGGTCGTTCTCTTTAGAGTATTTTAGAAAAGCTGAAAGGATTTTGTCTACCAGAACTTATACCAGTCCAAAAGTAATCGAGAATTTAATAAAGTTTGCACAGAAAGCTGATGAACAAAGACAGACGGATGAAGACGAAGAGTTGGAATTAGGTGAGGTACCTGACGAGTTCTTAGATCCACTTATGTTCATGTTAATGGAAGATCCAGTTATCTTGCCAGGGTCCAAAATTAGTATCGACAGGTCGACGATTAAAGCCCATTTATTAAGTGATTCAACAGACCCATTCAATAGAATGCCACTAAAATTGGAAGATGTTATTGAGGACACAGAGTTGAAACTGAAAATACAAGAGTTCAAGCGTCTGAAGAAAGCAGAAAAAATCAATCAGAATCAAGACGTTGAGATGACCGATGCGTAATATAGATATGTAAATGGGGACATAGTTGTTTCAATACAAGAAATTATCATTATTTTTATAACATGATAGTTCAATATAGATATAAAACTAAAATATACACGTTTATTAAAACATTAAACCCAAAAATTTATAAAGATCATTATAAAAAGTTTCTAATCAACCAGAGATCAATGGAATTTAAGCCTTAATAGCAAATCTTCTTTGTGGGAAGGCAATTTTTTGTTTTCTAGCTTTATCGGTGATTTGTTTAGCTTCGAACTTGGTTAATTGTCTTCTGATAGCTCTAGTCTTCTTAGCTCTTAAATCCTTTGGTTGGTACTTCTTACCAGCGTAGAAAGCTCTGACATTGTCTCTTTGGTTCAAGTTGATAACAGTTAAAACACGAGCAATGTTCTTTCTAACAGTGTGGATTCTTGGTAAAGATGGTTTTTGCAATTTTTGAACCTTCAAGTTAGCTAACTCTTGCTTTAATTCAACTAATTGTTTTTCTAATTGTTCCTTAGATTTAGTACGTAATTCGAAAGTCTTAACTCCGGCCTATATATGTTAGTATTCGTCATAATTCATCCTATATTAACTCTTCGTATCATCCCTCGTTGTATTGTTCCCATAATGATAGCCTTTCCTCATTGGCAAATGTTACCATATTTCCATATCCTTCCTACGGCCACTCCTCCATCAAATTTAATGCAATCTACGGTTTCCATCTATTCTCTATCCATATTCCATTCTTAAAATCTTGAATTAGGTCCATTTGTATAATATTTTACCGTTTCAATCGTTCCATCGATCTTCATCTAATTTTCATCTATAACTCTTTACCAAGTATCATGCTATCATCATCGTGTTCTTACGAGGTCTTATACGTAGTTTTATTGTATTAACATACCATTTTGAACTATTATTACTGTTAAATTAACAATTAAGTATTCTTAATCAACTATAATATTTCTGTACAATATGTTTAAAATTGACTACTACCCAGTATGTGAAAATTCTTCGTGATGCTACTGGAAAATTATTATTACACAAAAACGAATTTTTGGCTCGTGAAAAAGACGGAATTGTGATCATGTGAGTAGAGGGTATAAACCCTAAGCTGCAAATTGTGTACGATGTTGGCTGATACTACTGTCTGGAAGGGTTTAGAGTTGGTGGAGAAATGGTAGACGAGGAGATAATGGGCCAGTCTATGGTGGAGGACAGTGGTATGCGTTATAGATGATTTTTTGACAGAGTAAAATTGTGAAATATGGAAGGGGGGAGCACCAGATTGGATAATGGTACTATGGCTGAAGAGAAGATACAGTTGCGGGTGTAGTGATGCTGGTGGGATGCTGGTGGGATGTTGGTGAGATGTTGGTGAGATTCTGGTGAGATGTTGGTGAGATTCTGGTAGTGGTTTGTGCAGATAAGAGTCCTTGTGGACCGGCAGACAAAGACGTGTGAACATAATGTACATTATAAATAGAAACTAATCTAAATCTAAGCTAATAAGACAAGTGATGAAATTATATAGACTTTTGAGGAATTTCAGGCACATGAGCATGAAGTCATAGCAGTTACGGCGGACGTCGGACGCCACTGGAAGGTGCTGATGGATGTAATGAAGAATGGAAAGGATACGAAGACGGGCCAAATCATGGGGCATTCTTCAAGCTGTTGGATAACCATTCCAAACCTTCGTACAATCCGTCTCCGGTGGTGGCACAAGTGGATTGAATGTACCAAGGACGTTGACGGAGCGAATGCAAGTTCAACTTTTCGGTGATTTCAGCCGCGTTCATGGCATTTGGTAAATCTTGCTTGTTGGCAAAAACCAACAAGAATGCGTCTCTCAATTCATCCTCGTTCAACATCTGTTGTAACTCTTCTCTGGCTTCGACTATACGGTCTCTATCGTTCGAATCGACCACGAAAATGATACCCTGGGTGTTTTGGAAGTAGTATCTCCATAAAGGACGGATTTTATCTTGTCCACCGACATCCCACACAGTGAAGGAAATGTTCTTGTACTCGACGGTCTCCACGTTGAACCCAATGGTTGGGATAGTTGTGACAATTTCACCAAGCTTTAATTTATATAAAATGGTAGTCTTACCAGCTGCATCTAACCCAACCATTAAGATTCTCATCTCTTTTCTTTTGAAAAGGCCGGAAAATAATGACGAAATAGTTAAACCCATGTTGTTACTTGTGGTATTATGTAAATAAACCTAAGTTTGTGTTTATCTAGCGATTTCAGCTTTATAAATAAAAGAAGGGGGCGAATTTTCAGTATTATTTCTACACGTATCTCGATTACAACTCTGCGGGTAACAATGCATCATATATAGCAAATGCTTTAGATAACATATTATGGCTATATACAATAACATTGTAACTACAATATAAAGGCTAGACAGCACTGTAGATTGTGTAGATCGATGGAAACCCGATACCTATTCTTATAAGTATAGAGTCTTCTGACCGATATTTATGTCCCATTGCTATTTTTAGCCATTTGGTAACCATGCCTGTCACTACGCGTTAGATGTCATACTGAAACGTTTATACCTAGATATAGAAGTTGTAGTAACGAATCAAGGAGATACAGTTGTCTTACAGGCGATCTGATCATATCAGACCATTTACACTCTATTCTGATCATTATTGGACAAAACGAAGTTTTGTGGTTTTAGCTGTTCGTGTGCGATTAAGCACATATGCATGTGGTTTAAACAAGACGAATTGTAGATTATATAGTGGTATTATTGATAGTTTTCCGTTAAAGCAGTAGAATTATACCTTATTTCCAAGCAGCAGCTATCCTAATATACTTGATGACATTAGTTTCAGAAGTATGAAGTATTTTGAAATTTTACAAAATGCAACAGAAATTGCGAAAAGCTGTACAGATCTAATGTCTGGATGAAAACATATCGTGATAACTAGCTTAAACCCTATTGTTATAACTAGTGGATATGATTATGGAACAACTTCAGATCTACACTTATACATTTCACATATTATTTTGTATTAACCCTATATATCATTTCCCATGAATGCAATTAAAAAGCAAGTAGCAGCCAAAATGCATGCACATTATGTTTTCATTTTCCGACATTGACCTTGCAATTCGAATACTTCTGCAAAGCCCTAATAAATATTGAGTAGTTAACATCTTGATTATCGACCTCCCAGAAGATTTCCGATAATCGGATGTGCCATGGAGGATAGTCCTGCAAGTCCAACGAAGGGCCGAAGCAGATTAACAAGTCGGGTTCGACGCCTACTAATTCAATCAACTCTTCGTCAATCAAGTCGATGGTGATATCCTTTATTGACAACTCCTTGTTGACAGCCAATTCGCACATACTTTTGGTCAATTCGATAATTGTAGGTTTGCCATCGATTTTTGATAACAACGAGATTTCCAAATCGATCGATGCAGGTATTTCAAATGAGGGAGATTGTTGGAGGTTGTTACTGTAAATCACGGTATTCGAATGGGGGATCCTAATCGAAAACACCGGAACGGACTCGGTTCCAAAATACACTGATAAATTCTTAATGATATAACGACACAATTCAGGCAAGTGGTGCTGAACTATCCCCGTGTATTCGTAGACGGATAAAACAGGAATACCCGCCAGAATAGACCACGCTGTAAGCTCACTGATGTCGTTGATGAGCCCTTCCACTCCTCCGTTTTCATCGTCGTCATCCTTCAAGTCCAAAATACACGACACCCGCTTTGGTAACTTGGTTAACTTGTTCACATCGTCCCGAATTAACTGCGGCGTCTTATTGGGGTAGTATGCGAGTGTCAAAAACTTCAAATATATTCTTCTGTATATGTATTCGATGTTCTTGTATATCGAGATACAAAAGAAGATCCCAAGCAACACTGTATGGCTCAAGTAAAACGTTAATATGCTCAAAAGCGACCCCGAAACCGTCTCCCAGCACTTTTCATCTCCGTGCACCAAGTTGCGTGTCAATCCACTCACATCCTTTATAAAACTACGTGTTCCATCACTGTTAGGTGGTCGTTGGCGTTCTGTCTGCTCCTGACCCAAATCGGTGCCCAATGGCCCCGAACTGCCAACTTTGTCCACTTCTGCCGCAATATTTCCTTCTGATCTTGTCTGCGCCCTATCTGTAGTCATATCGCGTGTATATCGGCCTTTTTGAACACCAATCCTTACAAAAAGACGATATATTCTTTTTATATTACCCGCTGGATGGTGTTTTTTCTATTGCAACCTGGCCTATATACAGGAAATAACACCCACAATCGACCATAGAAGACCATTTCCACTCCCCTACATGCTAGAGAATTGCTATTCTTCTGATTTTAGTTTCTGATGCCCACAAACATACGAATCTATATATCCTACCACTTTTTCAACTTATTAGGGCCTATTGTTCAGTAGATATCGATGATCATTGGGGTATTGGAAAATTTCGGTCCTCGCGCGCTCTTGCGATACCGGTAAGACTAATTAAAATATTAGTCAAAGAGGCACTATATTAAGTGAGGAAAGCAAAGAATAATAGAGCATAGATATCGTAAGGATCGATACAGGTAGAATTAGTACACTGACAGGAGACGCAGATATAGTTTCTTGGGTGTAGAACGAAAAAAAGTATCGAATCAGGCCAGTGGGTAACACTTTATCCCGCACTAGAAAATTAATTAATAGTTGACGCCTAGAAGGAGAATTAGGAGACTGGGAGTTGAAAGAGAGAGAATACCGAGAAGATAGACTCGGATGGACTATAGCTTATCGGAGGGAAGAGTTTGTTGATAACAAATAAGCATCTAGAGAAGGAGAAAAATAGTACGTAATGTGGCCATTTCTTGATCGGATCATGTATGATCACTCGACGGAGGAAGAATATAACAAAAAGATGCAGCAGAAGTCATCTTCGTCGAGTGCTATTACTGTTGGTTTAGTGGCAGCGGTAGGGGGTTTTTTGTACGGATACGATACTGGACTCATTAACGACATCATGGAGATGACGTACGTGAAAGAGAACTTCCCAGCGAATGGGCATAACTTTAATGTGCATGAAAGGGCGTTGATAACGGCCATTTTGTCACTCGGGACATTTTTTGGGGCCTTGGTGGCGCCATTAATATCAGATACATGGGGCAGAAAATTTTCGATTATTGTATCATCCGCCATCATATTTAATGTAGGAAACATCTTGCAGGTGTCATCCACAGAAGTAGTGCTTTTGTGTATTGGAAGAGCTGTTTCGGGGTTGTCGGTGGGTATACTATCGGCAATTGTACCGTTGTATCAAGCTGAAGCATCACCTAAATGGGTGAGAGGGTCCGTTGTGTATACTTACCAATGGGCAATAACGTGGGGGTTGTTGATCGCCAGTGCTATATGCCAGGGAGCGAAAAATATGTTGAATTCGGGCTCTTATAGAATACCGGTTGGAATACAATTTTTGTGGGCACTTATTTTATCTATAGGGATGCTTTTTTTACCCGAATCCCCACGGTTCCATGTTCAAAAAGATAATATTCAAGAGGCATTGAAATGCTTAGCTAGACTAAGAAAGGTGCCGACAGATGACCCTGAATTGATAGAAGAACTTGTTGAAATCAAGGCTAATTATGACTACGAATTATCATTTGGAAAGGCGACATATATAGATTGCTTCAGGAGTGGTGGAGGAAGAAATAAACAACTTACTAGAATGTTTACTGGTATCGGAGTCCAGGCATTTCAACAAAGCTCGGGTATCAATTTCATTTTCTATTACGGGGTTAATTTCTTTGCGAGCTCAGGAGTGAACAATTATTACTTGATGTCATTTATTACTTATGCGGTTAACACACTTTTTACGATACCAGGGATAATTTTGATTGAAGTCATAGGAAGAAGAAAGTTATTATTATTTGGCGGCATTGGAATGGCTGTTTCAAACTTCATAATAGCAATTGTTGGTGTTAGTATGTCAGACGAGGCAATTAGTTCATTAATATGTGTGTCATTTTCATGTGTTTTCATTGCATTTTTTGCATCTTCATGGGGTGGGGCCGTATGGGCGCTTACGTCGGATATATATGGTATTGGTATAAGACAAAAAGCTATATCACTTACAGCTGCTACAAATTGGTTAGTCAATTTTACATTTGCATTTATAACGCCTTATTTGATTGATACTGGCAAGCATACTGCAGCCTTAGGGAATAAGATTTTTTTTATTTGGGGTGGTTGCAATGCTCTTGGGGTTGTATTTGTCTACTTCATGGTTTACGAGACCAAGGGATTAAAGTTGGAAGAGATTGATTTTATGTACAAAAACTGTGTGAATGCTAGAGCATCAACTAAATTTAAATCTCAAAAGATTGTGTATGCAAATCAAATTGCAACACCAATTTCGGAGCTCCTCAACACTAACACATCGCATATTGCAATTGAGAAATCAAGTGGTAGTAATAATCATGATGACGACGATGACGATGAGAATAGCGAAATAAATAACAATAACTTTGGATTGGAGACTGGTAATATCTTGCACAATAATCTAGATAACAGGAATATAACTATTATACCGTATAAGAATATCATTTCCCCGCTGCGGTCGTTTAGTTCAGATTCTTCTAGTGATTCCGATTCATCTTCACCACTTAATGACTACGAGAAATACTTACACAGCTTGCAAAAAGAGAGCAGCCATCATGCCGATACGTCGCAAACGTCAACGTCTTTACTTACTGACAATAAATTCAGTCATCTTAATTCCATGAATAATGTCCACTCGAGGGGTAATTTTACGGAGGAGGACTTGAAGTATCTCAATGATGAATATAATCTAACGATATCTCTGAAATACCCAGGAGCAAGCACCGGACCTTTAGGAGTTCAGCCAAGTACAAATATGACTGTTATAGCGGCGCCATTTTTTAATGCCCCACCAAGCGACTCAGATACAGACGATGGCGACGAAGACGATAGCGAAACAGAACCAGATACCGCCAATGGCTCACCGGATGATACCAAGGACTCTAGTTCATAGTTAATTGTATATGGCATAATTACACTCTACGTTGAAGAATGTGTAGATACTAAGTTCAGTGTCGTCATTGTCTTTTCTTGCAAGACTTCTAACGTTTGTATATCAAAACATCCTATGGTAACCGTGTTACCAGATATTAATACGCTGCTTCTATACAAAGAGTATGCCAGGTTTGACTAGCAGCAGGCTAATTCTTTCGCTAATAGATGATTTTAAAAACAACCGGAATAATACATCACTTGCATCTTTAACCGCGAATGCTTTAGTTAGCCCATGCTCGGTTTCGTCAATCCCCCGTCCTTTCGGAGCCAAGAAGTAACGTTTCCTGTTGGAAGAATAGGTCGATGTCTCTGCCTAATACTACTCTTTTTGCACCATTCTCATATGCTCCCTGTCACTTATCTCTGTTCCTAGCTCCGATTCTTCGGTGCATTGGTTTGTTTTCGTGAGCCATCTTCAATTTCTCTTTTTGGCTACATTCACACACGCATTTATTAACTATCTAGTGTTCCATGTTCTTTACCGTAAGTGGTTCCCAATATATCTCTTCAATAGTCCCATTCATAAATAAATACCAAAACGTTCCATCGGCTACGTACTTCATAAATTCTCAATTAGTATAAACTACAAACAACAAAATTTCAGTTGCATATTTTTCTTTCCAGTTGTTCCTATTCGTTATTAACATGTACACAAGATTGATATATCTTTCATATTTTCTCATATCACTCGAAACACCTTTCTGAGTCATATGTAGTTTCCTGAAATCAAAAATTCTTAGTATACATTTAGTTTAGGTCTCAAATCATGAAGTTTATGCTTTTTTCGCTGAAATGCCGGCCGTTTTCCCATGCATATTCCGGTGATAATGCAGATAGAATGCCGATGAGGTCCCGGATTAGAGAGCAATCAAAATAGAACGGAACTGCAGACATGCGCCGCAGAGCCGCACAGCATCTAGACCACATTGTGTTCCATGCGGAACAGTGCGACATTGTCGAATAATTGCCCCATTGAGACGATAATTTATAACTTACAACCATTCATTTCCGCTAATTGTACGTCCGGGAGTCAAGAAGCTTATATAAGCATCCCAATTAGTTACATATATTTCCAAATTAGTGTTGTTAAGATTCTTCTGCAGCGATGTTTAGAGAGAGAAAGTAGGGATGAATAGGTGAAATAAGAGTGGAATATACTACTAGTGCTGAACTATTATGCATTGAATACTTGTAAGGAAGGAACAGGAAAGACAGGACTCAGCAGAGTACAATTTGACAAATAAAAAATAGTTCCATCTAAACCTAAATTGTAGCGAACGTCAGTAATTAGGAAGCAAGGTTGCTGAGCGAAGGCCAGTTTAACGAAGATAGCAACATATTTCACGCTTGGACCCGCGCAAGTCGATACCGGTTGAACCGATGGCCACCGGAAGACCTTTGCACTACCATAGTTAAGGTATATTTGCTCTATTGTATCAGCCGTAATTATTTCATGACCAGGCAAAATAGGCACCTACCCAATTAGGTAATGTGTATAAACTAATTTGAAAAAAAGTCAATACTATGTTTTTTTTATAAAATTGACCATGTATCCTTACAGTGTCCGATAATTTTAGTTTTCATCTTTTCTGGTTTTTCTATAATCAATTGGTATTTAATTATAATTAATCATTTTGAAACCATATTAATACACAATGCTTGCCCTTGGAGATAGTATTTTACGTTTGATTAACTTTGTATTGTTAATCATTGCATTGGGTTTAACTGGTTCGTTAGCTGCTTCCACCATCACCCAATCCAACCCTCAAGTCAATTTCGGTGTATTTGCTGCTGCCTTTGCTATATTAACATCTTCATTCTATGGTATCTTAGCATACTTTATTGCTGCTTTTGCATGGCCAATTGTGTTGGCAGCTTTAGATTTCTTGAATCTTATTTTCACCTTTGCTGCCGCCACCGCTATTGCAGCTGGTATCCGTTGTCACTCATGTTCCAACAAGGACTACCGTGAAGGTAACAACATTGTTCAAGGTTCTACCGGTCGTTGTAGAAAAGCTCAAGCTTCTGTTGCTTTCCTTTACATCTCCTTCTTCATTTTTGTTTTCTCCACCGTCTTCTCTGTCATTTCTATTACAAAGGGTGGTTTATTCGGTGGATCTTCTTCAAGATCTACTGCCAGAGTTGGTGTTCCATCAATGTCCCAAGTTTAAGATGCTAGAATGCTTGTTGCAGCCGCTTTAAGCTGGCCTCAAAAGAATTCAATACGTTGGAATCGGATACAGAAAATTTGGCTATATAAAACTCGCTCAATTATTTTACTGATAAATCTTTTTTTGCTGGTGGATAATTTTGCCTAATGCTTTTCCATTCGTCAGCCGTTTGTTTTTTTCTATTTGTTAATCATTTTGACAATTGTATTAATTATTTCTTTCATTTTTTCCCTTTTATATATTGTCTTTAATATATTTATATCCATGTTAAGATTAATTTTGTATGTTTAGGTGAGGATAGTTGCAAAGTAATGAATTCCTTGTTTATGCATAATCGGTGCCTGAAATTATTACGTTTATTATTATTTGCTATCGGTAGCAGAATGAACAGTATTAATTAATTCATAATCTGTTATGCTGGCGTGACTTCACTAAATAACCGTTCCTTCCATTGACCGATAATACATTTAAAGTAGTTACTAATCAGACGGTATATGCGAAAATGTAACTATCCGCAGAATGTTGCTGACCAAAGTATACCTGCAGCTGTTGATGCACCCCATGATGATAGGTAGAGCTAGAACCTAATTACTCAGTCATTGGTTCGTACATTTGAGAACGAGATAAATATGTAGGGATGTATATGAGTGACCTTCGGATATTGTTGTTATAGCTACCGAGAAATGAAAATAATAGGATAAGATTTTATATCTAATGGAGGCCTGATCAGTCGCTTAGTAATTTACAAGTACGGAAATTAAATGGGCTCAACGGAAATGAGATGAACAATAATGTTAGCATCTGTAGGTGTTTTGTCTCTTTCCCCACCTTCAATAGCCTTTCGCTTTAAGTTGAATTGGTCCGACAATATATAACAGAAATTATCGATATGTGAATGGTTTATATTGTACTATGTACATTCGAAACGTTGTTTTATGTATTCTATACATCAAACTATTTATTCTTTCTTCTTTGTTTTTCACGTTCATATGTGTTCTTTTCAGCCCCTTCAATAGTTGAGATAGAATTGACAATATTGGCCATCTTCTTATGATATTCATCGTATTTGTCTTTCTTCTCAGCAATTTGTTGTCTGGCTGTGAATTTGGATTCTTTTCTAATATCTTTAAGTGCAGACTTTCTTTCTTTCTTGATTTGATTCTTAATCTTATTCATTTCTTGTCTTTCTCTATTTACATCGTATGATTTCTTGTCTGGGTTGAAATTTTCCTCGAATTTAGGTGCAAATGTAGCTATAGAAATAGCCTTGTGATGTTGTAACGCCAATGGTTTTCTTTCTTTGATTAAGTTATTTTGAATTTTACTCATTTTTTCAGTCAATTGATCAAGCTTAGGAGATTTATAGTAAACAGCTAAGTGACTTGCCAATTTTGAAAATGACGAAAGGATTTCAACCATAACTCCATTATCTCTCCAAATACTTAAAATTCTTCCAAATATATCTATAAGCTTGTTGGTTAATTTCAATTTCAAGAGCTGAGTATTATTCCCAAATAATTCAGAAACTTTAATCAAATCTTCGGTCGGTTTGATGCCTTTTGTGCTCAAATTAATATCTGACTTTATAACTTCATAAACGGATAAACTTTTATTTGCTAGTTTTTCGGGATCTGGAAGCAAAGTAATGCAGCTTTTTCTAAGAAGCACACGATTTCTGGAGTAAATCTTTTGGAAAAGGTTTGGTAATTCAATAATATATCAACAATAAATAAACCTTGACCAATTTGATTTATTGTGGTTGTCTTATCGTATGGAATGCTTGATATGTTTTCATTCATCAATATAAGCGTTGGGGTTACGACTAAATGATAATGATCTGATGTAGAAAATAAATAGCCAATTATCACAAAATACACTAAATCTCTTGGTTGAAGATTGAAAATTCTACTTTGGATATCATTAATTTCAATTCTAATGGCTTCTACCAATTTCTCGTTGTAACTTTCGCTTAGCTTTTTCAAAATTTTCATCATTTCATTAATGTTTTCTGCGGGAGGATTCAGTTCATTAGCTAAGTATAGAATATGCTTGAATAAAATACCAACAAATACATTCATTCTTTCCTTGTTCCCCTCTGCGAGTCTGGGTTGATAGGTTTCAATCACCTTGTTGATATAATTACAATGTTTTGAATCTTCAATTGTGGATAATGAAGCAATGAAATCTTCATGTGTACCTGGCATTTGAACGGTTGTCTTTTTTAAAGTCCTGCCAGATGGCTTGGATTGATCAATATCACCTTCACTACCACTAGATCCTTCTTCTTCTTCATCGCTATTTTCAATAGCAAAGCCTTCTTCTTCATCGGCACTGCCATTCCAAAATCCATCCAAATCATCTGCCTCTGCTTCTCTATCACCAAAGTCCCCATTCATTCTGCGTAACCTGTCTGCTTCTAGTTTTTGTAATCTGGTGTCATGCTCCTTTTGTAATTCTTCAGCTGTTTTGGTTCTATCTGCTGGAACAGAACGTCTATCATAAGTTAACTCCCTAACTTTATTATCATACTCAATCTCCTCTGGAGTTTTTGTAGAAAAATTTGGTGACTTTTTGGTTGCATTGTTATTGAATTCAGTCATTATATCGCCAAATTCATCATCTAAATTCATAATTTCATCTTGGGCTTTTTGAAATTCCATTTGTCTTTGATGCTTATAAAATTTGGATTTGGCTATAACTTCTTTCATTACTTCCTGCTTCGACTTCCTCTTTGGTTGAGCTTCTTCCGGCATTAAAGAGTCTTCGTCATAATACTTAGTATTTGATGCACCTAATTTGGTATCATCCAAATCATTGTCAAGAGATAACGATTTTCCCGAGTGTGTCAATACAAAACCATCATTGTCTTCGTCATCTTGCTCATCGTCACTTCCTAACGCAAAATTAAACTTCTTTTTGTTTCCCTGTCTTTCTCTAGTGAATCTTTCCAACATCTTTTCTTCTGCTGTCAAATTACGATTATTTTCACCAAATCTTCTATCGATTAACCCACCAGTTTTTCCATTTTGCTTTTTATCTAATTCATACTGAAGTTTCATTGATTTTTCAACGTCAGATTTCGCCCTAGTAGCGTCATTGTGTTGCTTTGATCCAACTTTAACAAACTTTCCTCCTTGAATCATAGTAACATCACGCTTGGTTCTGTTAACTTTGCCGTCAAACAAGTTGAAATCTTTTCTGATATTATTCAAGATTTCATGTTTGTCGTTCCTTCTTGTTTCTGAAGGTGTTTTCGATTTTTTATTTTTCTTCTTAATATTGGTCTGCCCAATTAAACCATTAGCCTTTAATGCAGCCTTTAACTGCTTTAACTGCGACCCAGCCATATTGTATTAAATAAATATATTAATGACTTCTTATGATAAACTAATAGACATCTATATACATGGTTATAAAAAAATTCCATCGTGCGGCGCAAAATTAATTTTTTTAGGAGACGACCAATGTCACAAAACCAATATCATCTATTTCTATCGTGCTTGTAAAATTGGTTTATCATACCCAATACTCCAGACCTTTTGCCCTTACTGGATTCTTCTTCTTGCTCCTCAATATTGTAGTTAACATTGTAGGAAGATTCATCCATGCTATTAGAAGTTAGAGGCTGATACAAAAGCGAGGGCGAAGGATCTCCGACAACCAAGTGAGTGTTATCAGGTTTAGCAATACGCGATGGCTTCGTTGGTAACAGTGCATTCGTGGTGAGTTTGGATGCCTGTTTTGCTTTGTCATTACCACAAGTTTCTAAGAAATACATATAGGACTTGATCATTTTCTCATCCTGATAATAATCATTGTTAATATCTGCGTCATCATTGTCATCAGATTCACTAGAAGTCTCTGAATCACTTAGTTTCGACTTATCAACTTTATTCAGCACCACATTGTCAAGTTCAATATCATCAGAAAGGTTTTTAGTTTTGAGGGCTGCTTTCTTTTTTGCGGTTATTTTTGATTTTTTGGGTTTGCGTTTTGGCTTGTTCAAACCCATCATCATATTTTTATCTTTCTGTTCGAAATTAAACATCGCAAAATAACAAACATAACCGAGACCGTCAACATGTATAGAATACTCTCTGAAAAAGTCAATAATTGCACCAGAACTACTCAGAACCTTGAACCAAAGAATAAAAGGCGTCAAGATTAAACTTAAAATTTCATTAATAATTATTATAATCTTCAATGAAAATAGCTCACAAAATTCATTCTTAACTTGCACTGTATGTAGCCTACCATTCCATGAACTAGGCAAATAATGTGTGAACTGTGAGACATACCTTAGGCTAGCTTCAGGGTCATAAAAAAAGGACGACGTCTGTGAATTCAAATTTTCAGAAGTGTTGGAATTGGTAGAAGTTAAGGAACTTGATGTAATGGCCCAAACAGTACCAAACATACTAATATAGAACAAACTTGATTTGTTTTCAGTGATTTCAAAAGACCAAAAATTGTGCTCTTCATTATCAAACCAGAGCCCCATTAAAACTAGTATTGCTGTTATAGCCCCGGAAACAAAATTCACAAAATTCATCAAGTTGATTACCAAAAATCCCCTAGGAAACTGATTGATATAAATATTTGCGGGACCTATCGACAAGTGTAATCTTTTGATGAAGAAATGAGGCAATTCATTGAATTCTCTAAGTTTCCATTCTGCCCATGGTGTATACTGTCTTAAACCTAAGATGGAACTAGGATTTGATTTATACTCATTGAAATAACGAAAGAAATATAATAGCACGAAATAAATAACAATGAAAGGGCATAAAAGCAAATTTATTATTGCAGCCATTTTAAATCGTGCACTTAGCTCTTTTGACAATTGATTTCTGTTAAAATCCTTCAAGACGTTAGAATTTATTTGGCCATGTTGGTTGAAAATAAAATTATTAATACACAACTTAATATTCCACTCCAAAGTTTTTGTCAATACCGATTTATTTGATAAGAAACTATTCAATTTTGATGAGAATGGCATCGATAATGACAAGTCCAATACTTCTTTATTAATCAATGCAATAATATAATTTTCCTTTCTCATAATTCTATTGGCAATATCATGAGCATTCAATCTAACCTTTGAGTTTAAGTCATTCAAAAATTGAGCAGGTATATTGGTATTCGTAGATGTTAAGCTATTGTAATCTTTCAATGCCATTAACCTTTCGACTATAACGATCCATGAGATGGTCATTAATTCGTCATCATTTGGAATTCCTATCAAGTAATGATAGAAATTTTTAACTTCTTTTAACTTGTAGTTGTAGTCAAAGTACAACTGGACCAATCGCAAAACAATATATCCAGAAAATCCCAATAGTAACAATTTAACTGAAAGAGGTACCTTCTTACTAAGAAAATTAGGTATTATTAAGTCTTTCAAAGTAATAGATGTCCGTTCACTTGAAGCAGACACAAAGAAGTCATAATTTATGCCCCATTTTAAGAACACAGTGAATGACAATATGAAAATCAATATCAATAAATCAACTAATCTAGTTAAAACAATATTGAGCATTCCATTACCTCTGTAATAATAATAAACGTCAGTCAAGAATTCGTCCATATTAGTTATATTCGCCCATAAGTAGAGAGCCCGCTCTTTGGGAGGAATTACATACTTCTTCTTAGACTTATGCTGCTTTTTTTGATAAATTGTTTGAGCCGATGGTCCCTCGGGTTGTGGCCTACGAAATTGTTGTGGCTGGTTATACATTGGTAGAGAACCATTGGTTGGATGCAATTTGTTGTTAATGTAGGTTTTCGCAGTATCAACCATGTTCTTTTTGGGCGGATCATTGGGTATGCTAGCAGTTATATCATCATCTTGGCCATAATGTGGGTGGGTCGTATCCCAGTGCACCTGAGCCGAATCTTCGATTGGATTGTGCTCCTTGCCCGTGAACGCTACTATGGGTGACGGTGGCGATGAAAGCGACAGTGACGAATCCAGATCTGATTCAGAATCCAACAAATGGGTATTTCCGTTGTTTGCATTTTCATTACCTTCGTTACGTACGTGACTGGACGAGGCACCACCATTCACGAATGACTGCTGATAATCAACATCAGGGTCATAATATTGATACTCGTCCTGTAATTGGTTATATACCGAGTGAAGACCAAACACTCGTGAAAGAAACGTATCATTGTTTGAGTTCTGATTATACTCAGACATCTTACGAGGAGCTTAGTGATAGATAGGTCATCACGATAAGTAATAGTGGTTTTGAATGATTAAACGTAGACACAATCTCAATACATCACGTGACTATATCCGATAAGATAACCAGACATGATTCCATTAGCATATTCGTAGAGCTTTAGTAATACTATAGTGTTGGATAGATTGTTATTGAACTTTCGAAGGCTAATACGAGGTATATGGATTATATTATGAAACTGGAAACCTCAAGTAAACGATTTGAATTCGTGCTACAGAGCTTTTACATTGAGTGTGGACCTCGAGGATTTGCTATTCGTATGCAAAACAACGGTCTGCATCAGTAAATCCTAGTAATCAAGAGTTAAAAGCATAGCCTATAGGTTTGTATAATATATTTATTCATAATTTTGATAAAAATATACTTCTCTCGCAAATTTAGAGTGTCGGTATGTCTTTAGAGATGTATATTTGATGGCTAAGTATAATCTTGTCCTTATAGTGGATATCATCGCATATGGTGGATCGTGGTTTCATTATTCAGAGTTTTCGTCCTCAAGAGAAAATGTAAGTAATTCAAATACGCGATAGTTCACACACTAAACCTAGTGGGTAATAAACTCGGGGAGAATATTAGTTAAATCTCCAAAAAATACCAAAAGCTAATTGCAAATTTACATAATCTTTATGGCTACCACAGTCGCAGTCGCGTTTTCGTTGCAATTTGTGTTGAAACCGCATCCGTCCTCGACCTTTTAACCAAATCCCAAATCTTCAGTACTATAAATAGTCCATCTTAGTATCATGGTAATGGCTGTGTTTTCCGTATGTGTTCTTGACCTTGATTAAAGACAAAGGGTATATCGACATATTATGTTTGTTGCCCAGTTGCTGCGTGGTGCTTATATCGAGGAGCCTTTGTGTACCCTTAGACTGCTTGAGTGGTGTATGGATGGGTGGTTTGAAGCCACCTTCATTTGGACAGAATGTTTGCCGGGCTAGTAGCCATGGGCAAAGTACACATTTAGCTTTATTTGAGTTCGATCTTTCACGCTAAAAACATTTTTACTCCTATGATGCTAATTGTCTTTGTCTTTCAATACTCGAGACATATCAGTAATATTTGTTCTATTAGTTTATGGATTATAGTTGACTCTATGCTCAAGTTGCATACGTCATGTATACCAATGCAAGTCAAAAGTGTAAATTTCTCTAATAAGCTGCTTACCCGCGCCCCTTTCTCTCATGATTCCGTTGGATTTCCATCCTTGGAACAAGCAAATCCGATAGTAGTACTCAATTGGACTATTTGAATGCTCGCGCATTATTAAATACGGAGCCAAGTTCAGGTTACAGTAGGAAATGGGATCTGCCGTTTCGCTTAGCTAGGTACTACATCCATACACCAATTATTACTTGAAATTATTGGGGTAAGTAATTGTTTTTAGAAGTAGAATGCCAATATACGATTCTAGTGATAATCATTTATAATATCAGGAGAAATTGATACGATTTCAAGAAGAAAAATAGATATAGGTGACTCGTTTCGTTTGAGGTGAAGTTTATAATTACAAATCAGATAAGTTAAAGAATGGCAAGACGAGATTTGACCTTTAATACTCCAAATAGGGACCCAGATGAAGAATCAGGGGTCGAGAACCCGTTTGGAACACCTGTCGACGAAGAAAGTTCTTCATTAGGACTGAACCAACAGTCTACATCTAGCCAGCTGGACGACTATAATCGGATGAATAATCATATGAATGAACAAAGCTACGGACACGCATTTAATGTTTATAATGGGTATTATTCTCGCACTGGAACCACAACAAACTTGATGTCTAATGTCACCCCGACTAGTGGAGGGTATAATAATAATAATCACAATAATGATTCACTAGGAATTTCTAATTTGGAGATACCACGAAACATACAACTGCCCATAGAGTTTGACAGATACCCTTCGAACTTTAGTAGTTGTAATAATATTAGCAGTTTAGTCAACTCCAAACAAGATGAAAATGATTTACCAGTGTCAAAAATATCTTCTAGTCCCTTTTTACCAGGAAATGATTTCAGTCCATTCGGTGGGTACCCTGCTTCATCGTTTCCTTTGCATATAGATGAGAAGGAAGCAGATGATTATTTACACAACCCAGACCCCATCAAAGATGCGGATTATGATAAAAACAGATTCATTCATGACTTGAAAAATATGGACAGAAGATCGCTAGGCGGATTAATAGGGGTTATATTTTTAATTTTGGCAGCAGTTGCGGTGTTTATCTTATTGCCTGTATTGACATACTCTGGTGTTACTGATCCATACGTGCCAGAGAGTTATGAAATTTTAACTCAATATCGATATCCTTTATTGAGTGCTATCAGAACCGATTTGGTAGATCCAGATACACCGGAAGATGCATTAACTAAAAAGACTTCC